GAGCAGGGAAATGGCCTGAGGCTGAGGCAGGGGAGATTCAGGTCAGCTGCTGGAGATGTGTTTTTTGGGTGCTCAGGCACTGGCATAGGTTGCCCAGGTGGAGTCAGCAGCCCGGGAGGTGTTTCAGAGGCGCCTGGATCTGGCGATGAGTGACAGGGTTTAGTGGTTTAGGGGTTCCCGGGGCGGTGCTGGACTCGGACAGTTGGACTGGATGGAATCGTGGAACGTGCTGAGGTGGGAGGGTCCCCTCGGGACCGTGGAGTCCAGCTCCTGATTTTCATGCACCAATAAAGGAACTGAATCTGGATCAAATGATTTGGCTCCAAAAAATCTTCTGCCCCTAGTCTACACTGCAAAGTCAAACAAAAAAGACCATGCAAAATACAGGCCTGTGTTCTCCCCAGAGGGAAGGCAGGCAGTTACAAAGACGGGCAATAAATCAAAGCTCAGAGCATATGTTCATGGTCACCACACTTGTATGACACACAAAACCAGTCCTCTGTTCATTCCCCGTGTAGAACTCTCATCAAGAACTCCAAACTTTTCTGTGTGTATTTGTATACATATATATATATATGTATATTTGTGTGTATCTGTCTAAGATTCTGTATCTTTGGATGCAATATTTGCATGCTATTGTTCTGTGGCAACAAGTGGACTTAAAAGATTCCAACACTTGATGAGATGACCTTTCTGCTTATGGGTTATATTTTTTAAAGAAGGCAACAATAAAAGAACTATTTAGCCAAATATAAGTTAAGACATTAATCAGAGCAAATGTTTTGATTTTTATTTACAATTGTACAAGTCGTTCAACTCTTTGCATCCTCAAAAGAGAGGTTTGAAAATTCTCCCTCAGAAATAAGCAAAAATATTTTCGGAGGCTGTTCCTTCCAAGCCTTTCAGAGTTTCCAATAGGTATTCACCATTCTTGAAATGCAAAGCCTGAACAATGAAACAGGGGTTAAACTGGAATTCTTGTTGCCAGCACTGATCTGGACAGAAGTTCTTAGAGAGTGTAGCAAAGCCAGCAACAGAAATAACCTTTGGCTCTCTAGCACAGCTCTGCATTCATTGGTCATGGCAACAAAAGTTGGCTTTTAAACCCATCTGCTAAGGAAACCTTTGCAGAAATGTGAGCTTCTAATGCTACTTTTCTTAAGAAGTTAGGAGGCCTTAATACAGTGTACACAGATGAGAGCCTGAAAGAGGAGAGAGCCCAGTTCCTGATGATGGGTGGAGATGAGGAATCAGGTATGCTGAGCAGGCTTCGAGCTTTGTGAATTTTACAAGTCCCTCAGGTTTTCCTAAGTGACTATTTTCAAATCTGTGGTAGAAGAAACATTCGTTGCTGTTTGATCAGCTTTCCAGACTAACTCTTTCGGCCTCAGTAGCCAATTGCAACCTGCCCCGGGAAGTTCAGAAACGGCACCATTCATTAAATACACTGTTGTGTCCCAGAGATCCCACAGAGATTCAGCTCCAGTGCTAAACCCCACAGAGTGTCAACTGCCATAATAGCTGCTTTTTGACTTGGATGAGAGTCTCTCTTGTTTTCTTTGGTGTAGCTGGCACATCTGGAGCAAGGGGTCTGGGCCAAAGTACCTCGTTACCAGGGGCCCGTACAGATAATGTTACAACAGTAGCCATGTCTCTAATTAAGGAAGGCAGTTAGATATAGGAATTGATTGTCAGAGGTTTGTAAGAATGCGGTGAAACCTTTTACTTTCCTTTGGCATCTCACACAATCAAGACTAAACCATGTATTCTAGATTACGTCTTGAAAGAAATTTCCAGTTAGCAAGAAGTTTAATGGGTTAGTTTGCCATCAGTGTTTTGATTATGTTTTGCTGAATCTAAGTTCATAAGGAATTGCTAAGGGTTTTTTCCTTCCTTCCCTCCACCCCCAAATTTCATGTGATGAGACAGCTATAGAAGAGTTTTTCATAACTTTTAGTTATGTTTCTCTTGTGGAGCTGTAGGCGTTACTGAGAATGGGCTGGAGTGTCGCGGGTCAAGGCGGGACACGACACAAATCCTTATGGATCCAGAGGCTGGAACACTTTATTGCGCGATGTCTGCTACTTTTATACACTTTTTAGGCTACACATGTCAACTCTCCACTGGTTCTCACATACATAAATATTCTTCCATTGGCCACTAACGGTGTTATATAACTCTGCTTACTGTGCATGTCACGAAACACATTTTGCTGTGCTCAGCACATTTTACCGGAAAACCATATTGTTACAACTTCCGGGTCCGGGCGTAATTCTCCCCTGAACAAAGGTTCCTACTTAGCTTTAACTCTTCCCGAATCCCCCAGGCCAGCTGGGGGAGAACCACCACACTGGAGTAATGCAATGAATATTTTCATTCCTAGAAGACATCGTGACAGCCCATCAGGAGAAAAAATTGCTCAAGAAAGAAAACACAAACCCAACCAAAATGATACTCAACCATCTCAAGTCCAGTTGGGGAGAGCATGGTGAGAGAAGCTGATGACCCTAATGAGTCCTTGTATTTCCAAGTGGTTCATACTTCCTCCTCAAGTTGCTCCATTCCTGTTAAACTTCCCTCTGTTAATAACAGAGTGTTGTAGTGCCCTGCTCTGGAAAGCTCATGGAAAATCTCCTGTAGCAACAGATGCCAAAGGAGAGTCCTTCAAGATTTTTAAGGCTGAGAGTTTGCCAGGTGGCTTGGGCTAAAACACAGTCCTCCTTGCAAAAAAGGAAAGTGAATCATAAAAACTGGGAAAATTTTTAGTTCCTTCAAGGAACAAAATATCTCCTGAGCTTTGGAAAGCAGGTATGCCAGCACCTGTGTATTCCCATCTGGAAACTCCCGCTGTAGCAGGATTGATGACTGATAACCCTGTTCTCCCCGCGCTGGGCAGGTGTTGGTGGGGTGTTGTATTGCAGCTGGAAACAGCCACGGCTGTCTGTGGCTTTACAGAGAGCAAAACATTAGACAGTAGCTCCCCTCCAGAAAGCAGCCTATTCTTACAGACTTCACGGCTTTGATGGCAATCATGGCTAGAGCTGGTCAAGCGTGTTGTGTGCTAAATGTTTTATGTTTGACCCAAGGAAATGTCTGTGCCCTTGAACACATTCTCAGTTTTCATCGGGTTAGTCTGGAAGGTCCCCTGAAGGGAATGTCTGGTGTAATGAAATCTCTTCTCTATCTGAAAACTAGGGAAAAAACTGCTGTGTTTTGGCTTGCAGGGCAGTGGACTGGTTTTCCTTGGCAAGCATCCTTTTCCTGCTCCTGTTTGCCCCATGGATGGTGGATTACTTCTTCACCATGTCCTGTGAGCAGTGCCAGTACTCTCTGACTGATCCCCTCAGGGACTTGCTCCCAGGGAACATATGTCTGCCTGACATCTGGAACAAGACACCTATGCTGACCAAGCGGGCTACTGGCATCTATTGCCTTTGGATGGCTTTCCAGGTACATGATTGAGTTCTGAACTGATGAAGGGTCTGGTTTTTCACAGCTCTTGGATGAATCCTTTTGCACCAAGGGTAGTGGAATGTAGCCCTGGCCTTTCCTCTTTGGTGTTTCTCACTTTGCATGGCTTTGGAATCCAAGTGAAGCTTATGGACTGGAAAAAGAGGCGTGTAGGGAATATACACCAGTATCCCTTGTGTGATGTAATCCTTGATGAAGTTACTCTAGAAAAACAATACTCATTTGTTTTAAATTCATACCCAAGAAAGCACTGCAGAAGGGCTGATATTTTCTAGAGACAGGCAGCCAAAAGAAGGCTGTCAAATGAAATAGGACTTCTATGTGTGAAATACCTTCAAGCTTACCAAACCACTCCATTTTTTTTTCCAAGTTGGAAAATACTTCTAACAGAGATGAATCTCAAAATAAAAGGATAAGGACCTGAATCTAGTTACCAATTGTCCTACCCCCTGAGAAAACTGAGCCTCATAAAGCCTAATGGTTACAGCAGAGCCTAAGGTAACCTTCAGAAAAGTGAGGTCATTTCAGGAGCACTTGCTTGAACTTCTGTATATTAATAAAAAGCTGTATGAATGTAGTGTCGCTAAACAGTCCATTTTTTCTTCCTATTTTAGGTGTAGTGAATAAATATGAACTCAGTGGACTTCAGGGCTGGATCATTACTCACATGCTTTGGTTTGCATGACTTCCACTTCTTCTGCCCCACCATCCTTTTTGACACCTGGATTCCTCTGCTGTGGTGTGCCAATATCCTGCGATCTCCACTTTCCACATTTGCAATGATGAAAGGCTCCTTCTTCCCTACCAATGTCAAAGACTGGTATGTGACTTTGAGTAGTGAGAGAATAGTGGTTCTTAAATAGTTAAATGAAGACTTGACCTATAACTTGAATGACTGGCACAAATATATAAGCTAAGATTTGACTGTGGTTCTTTGCTTCATTAGCACCATCCTCCGTGTTTCATACATGTGATGGCAGCGGCAGCGTCACAGATACCTCCATCCTATAAACAGAGTTATAGTTAGACTGTTCAAAAGTGTAAACAAAGAGTAAAGTAGGACACTTGTGAACTTCTGAAATTTATCTCTATTAATGTAATGCTTGGGTGGGGTCAGTTTGTGTTGTCTTGCACAACCTTACGTGGGTTTATGATTCTTCTTGTCACTACATCAAAGTAATCTGAAATGTCTAGTCAGAATAGTACTTGCCTGTACTTGTATGTAACTGTGTAGTTTTCTATTTTTTCCTGCTTTCCACCAAACAAAAGAAGTTCCAGCCTTGGCACTCCATGCACACATGGAGCTTCCCAGTCCCAAACTGAGCCCCTCTCAGTCCCAAACTGGGCCCCTCCCAGTCCAAACTGGGACCATCCCAGTCCCAAACTGGGATCACCAAACTGGGATCACCAAACTGGGCCCCTCTCAGTCCCAAACTGGGCCCCTCCCAGACCAAACTGGGACTATCCCAGTCCCAAACTGGGATCACCAAACTGGGCCCCTCCCAGTGCCAAACTGGGCCCCTCCCAGTGCCAAACTGGGACCCTCTCAGTCCATACTGGGATCACCAAACTGGGCCCCTCCCAGTGCCAAACTGGGCCCCTCCCAGTGCCAAACTGGGCCCCTCCCAGTGCCAAACTGGGCCCCTCCCAGTGCCAAACTGGGCCCCTCCCAGTCCCAAACTGGGCCCCTCCCAGTCCCAAACTGGGATCCCCAAACTGGGCCCCTCCCAGTGCCAAACTGGGCCCCTCTCAGTCCATACTGGGACCATCCCAGCCCAAACTGGGACCACCAAACTGGGCCCCTCCCAGTCCCAAACTGGGATCTTCCCAGTCCCAACTGGGCCCCTTCCAGTCCCAAAGTGGGCCCTCCGCGCTCGGTGGGCGTGGCCAATGCAGATTTATGCGAATGACCCTACCGGTACCATCGAGTCGCGGCCTCCGGCGAGGCCGGAGTGGCCCGGGGGGGCGTGGCCTGATAGAGCGGAAGTGACGGCGCTTTGCGGAAGTGTCGTCACGCTCGGCGCGGAGCGGCGGGAGATTCGAACGGCGGCGACTTTGGGGACTCCGGGAGTGACGTCACTGCGGCGAATTTGGGAGCTCCGGGAGTGACGTCACGGCGGTGAAGCCGGGGGTCTCCGGGGAGTGACGTCATCGCGGGGGTCTCGCCATGGCCCGCCCCAAACGCCCCCGGCGGCGCCGCCCCCTGGCCCCCGCCCTCCCCCATCGCCCCCGCGGAGAAGAGTGCGGAGTGAGTGGGGGAGGAGACACCAAAACCCGTAAAACCACCCCAAAACCCCCTAGAGACCCCAAAACCCCTAGAGACCCCCCCAAACCCCTAGAGACCCTGACCCTAGGACCCCAAACCCCCTAGAGACCCAAAAAAACCCCCAAACCCCCTAGAGACTCCCAAAACCCCTTAGAGACCCTGAAAACCCCCAAACCCCCTATGGACCCCAAAACCCCCCCTAGAGACCCTAAAAACCCCCAACCCCCCAAAACCCCCTAGAGACCCCAAAACCACCCCAAAACCCCCTTAGAGACCCTGAAAACCCCCAAACCCCCTAGAGACCCCAAAACCCCCTATAGACCCCCAAAACCCCTCTAGAGACCCCCAAAACCTCCCCAACCCCTCCAGAGACCCCAAAACCCCCTGAGAGACCCCAAAATCCCCAAAAACACCCCAAAGCCCCCTAGAGACCCCAAAAACCCCCCAAACTCCCCCTATCGACCCCCAAACCCCTTTACAGACTCCAAAACCCTCAGAAACACCAAAACCCCTATGGACCCCCAAAACCCTCCCATGGACCCCAAAAATCCCCAACCCCCCATAGACCCCCTATAGACCCTACAGACCCCATCCCCCCATGACCCCAAACCCCCCATGGACCCCAAAAATCCCCAAAAAACCCCAAAACCCCTCCATGGACCCCAAAAATCCCCCAAAAAACCCCAAACCCCCCATGGACCCCAAAAACCTCTCGAGCGACCCTTTATAGACCCCCCTACAGACCCCCCTGTCCCTACAGACCCCATAAATCCCCTACAGACCCCCCTGTCCCTACAGACCCCATAAATCCCCTACATTCCCCCTGTCCCTACAGACCCCATAAATCCCCTACAGACCCCCCTGTGCCTCCCAAACCCTACAGGTCCCCCCCAGAACCCCAAAACCCCACAAATCCCCTACAAATCCCCCCAGGGCTCCGTCCGGGCCAGCGGGCGCTGAAGGAGATCCGGAGGTACCAGAGCACCACCCGCCTCTTGCTCAGACCTGCACCTTTTTCACGCCTGGTGAGACCCTAAAAAAACTCTAAATATATCCTAAAACCTCAAACTGACCCCAAACCCACCAAAAACCCACCCCAAACTGACCCCAAACCCACCCCAAACTGACCCCAAACCCAGCCCAGAGCAGCCCCCGCCTCCTGCTCAGCCCTGCCCCCTTTCTCCAGGCTGGGGAGACCCCAAAAATGACCCTAAAACTGACCCTAAATCCTCAAACTGACCCCAAAACCCACCCTGGGACCCCAAAAAACATCCTGGGACCCCCAAACTGATCCCAAACCCACCCTGGGACCCCCAAACTGACCCCAAATCCCCCCTGGGACCGCCAAAGCTCCTCTGGGACCCCCAAACACACCCTGGGACCCCCAAACTGACCCCAAAATGTCCCCGGGGTGTCCCCAGTGTCCCCCCAATGTCCCCAATGATGTCCCCATGTCCCTGTGACCCCAGGGGTATCCCTGTGACCCCTGAGGTGTCCCTGTGACCCCAGTGGTGTCCCCAGTGTCCCCCCAATGTCCCCAATGACCCCTGAGGTGTCCCCAATGTCCCTGTGACCCCAGGGGTGTCCCCAATGATGTCCCTGTGACCCCAATGATGTCCCTGTGTCCCCAGGGGTGTCCCCAATGTCCCCAGGTTGGTGAGCTCTGCCTCCTCTTCACCTGGGGGGTCGTCCCTGTGACCCCAATGATGTCCCCAAGTTCCAAAGTGTCCCCCCAATGTCCCCAATGTCCCTGTGACCCCTGAGGTGACCCCTGGGATGTCCACAATGTCCCCACAATGTCTCCAATGATGTCCCCAGTGTCCCCAGGGGTGTCCCCCATGATGTCCCTGTGTCCCCAGGGGTGTCCCTGTGACCCTGCGACCCCTGAGGTGACCCCAGGGGTGTCCCCAAATGTCCCCAGGTGCGTGAGCTTTGCCTCCTCTTCACCCGGGGGGTCGATTATCGGTGGCAGCGCCTGGCACTGCTGGCCCTGCAGGAGGTGATGGGGGGGGAAATTTGGGGGGGTTTGGGGGAGCCCTAGGGGTGTTTGGGGGCCCTAGGGTGTTTGGGGGTCCCACTGGGTTTGGGGGTCCCAGGAGGGTTTGGGAGGACACGGGGAGGCTTGGGGGGTTGGGGGATCCCAGGGGCTTTGGGGGAGTTTGAGTGGGACGAGGAGGGGTTGGGGACCTGGGGAGTCCCACGGGGGGTTTGGGGGGGTCTCAGGGGTTTGGGGGGTTTGGGAGGGACAAGGGGGTTGGGGGGGGCTGGGGGTCCCAAGGGTTTATGGGAGTCCCAAGGGGTTCTGGGGGTCCCAGGGGTTTGTGGGGACCTGGGGGGCGTTTGGGGGGGTTGGGGGGTCCCAAGGGGGACTTGGGGGATGGGGGGAAGGTTTGGGGGGTCTTTGGGGGACAGGGTGGGACAGGGGAGGTTTGGGGGATCCCAAAGGGGCTTTTGGGGGGCCTGAGGGGGATTAGGGGGACAGAGGGGGTTTGGGGGCTGGGGGGTCTTCGGGGCTGGGGGGTTTTGGGGGCTGAGGGGTTCCTGGGGGGCTGGGGCGGGACTGGGGCTCCCTGAAGTGTTTTTGGGGTGTTTTTGGTCCCCTGATGGTTTTTGGGGTGTTTGGGGGTGTTTTTGGGGTTTTGGAGCTCCCCCTGAGTGTTTTTGGGGGTGTTTTTTGGCTATTTTGGGGTCCCCTGATCACTTTTGGGGGGTGTTTTTGGGTGTTGGGGTTTTGGGGAGCTTGGGGTGTTTGGGGGAGTTTTGGAGGTCCCCTTGATGGTTTTTGGGGTGTTTGGGTGTTTTGGGATATTTTAGGGGTGTTTTTTGGGTCCCCTTATGATTTTTTGGGGTTTTTTTTTGTATTTTGGGGTCCCATGATCATTTTTGGGGTGTTTTTTGGGTAGTTTTGGGGTGTTTCTGGGGTCCAGGAGGCCAAATCTTTCCTGGTGAGACTCCTGGAGGACTCGGGGGGGGGTGTTCGGATCTCTGGTTGGTTTTGGGGTATTTTAGGGGTGGTTTTTGGGTATTTTGGGGTCCCCTGATCATTTTTTGGGGTGTTTTTTGGGTTCAGGCAGCCAAGGCATTCCTGGTGAGGCTCCTGGAAGACGCTGGGGGGGTTTGGGGTGTTTTGGTTCTTTGGGGTGTTTTGGGGTATTTGGGTTTTTTTTTTGGTTTTGGGGTCCCTCTGTTCATTTTTGGGGTGTTTTTTGGGTTCAGGCAGCCGAGGTGTTCCTGGTGAGACTCCTGGAGGACTCGGGGGGCGTTTTGGGGTGTTTGGGATGTTCAGGGGTTTTTGGGGGTATTTTAGGGGTATTTTTTGGGTATTTTGGGATCCCCTGTTGATTTTTTGGGTCCAGGCAGCCGAGGCGTTCCTGGTGAGGATCCTGGAAGACGCCTACCTGTGCTCCCTGCACGCCAGGAGGGTCACGCTGTTCCCCAAGGACCTGCAGCTCGTGCGGCGCCTGCGGGGGCCCGAGTGGGGGGGGGTCTGATTGGGGGACCCCCCCCCACTGGGACCTCCAAAATGGGACCCCCAAATGGTGGGACCCCCCAAATGGGACCTCCCCAAAATGGGATCCCCAAATGGGACCCCCCAAATGGACACCACAAATGGGACCACCCAAAGGGAACCCCAAAATGGAACCCCCGCATTGGGACCCCCTAAACAGGACCCCAAAAAGGAACCCCCCAAATGGGACCTCCCCCATTGGGACCCCCAAATGGAACCCCCAAAATGGAACCCGCCAAATGGAACCCCCCAAATCAGACCCCTAAATGGAACCCCCAAATGGGACCCCCCAAATGGAACCCCTAAATGGGACCCCCTCAAAATGGGTCCCTTAAATGGACCCCCCAAATTGGACCCCTCAATGGGACCCCTCCAAATGGAACCCTAAAATGGGACCTCCCCCATTGGGACCCCCAAAATGGAACCCACCAAATGGGACCCCCCAAATCAGACCCCTAAATGGAACCCCCAAATGGGACGCCTCCCAAAATGGGACCCCCAAATGGAACCCCCAAATGGGACCCCCTCAAAATGGGACCCCCCTCAAATGGGACCCCCCTCAAATGGAACCCCCAAATGGGACCCCCCCCAAAATGGAACCCCCAAATGGGACCCCCCCCAAAATGGGACCCCCCTCAAATGGAACCCCCAAATGAGACCCCCCCCAAAATGGAACCCCCAAATTTGGGGACCCCCTCCCAGGTTGGGACCCCCCTCCCAGTTTGGGACCCTCCACCTCCCAGTTTAGGACCCTCCACCTCCCAGTTTGGGGACACCCCCTGCCAGTTTGGATTCCCCCCCTCCCAGTTTGGGGACCCCCCATCCCGATTTGGGGACACTCCCCCCCCAATAAAGATTTTGAACCCACTGGAGACCAGTATAAACCAGTACAGCCCAGTATAACCCACTGGAGACCAGTATAACCCAGTACAACCCAGTGTGGACAAGTATAACCCAGTACAGCCCAGTGGGGACCAGTATAACCCAGTCATGACCAGTATAACCCACTGGAGACGAGTAAAACCTCCTGGAGGCCAGTATAAACCAGTACAGCCCAGTATAACCCAGTACAGACCAGTATAACCCAGTACAGACCAGTATAACCCAGTACAGCTCACTGGGGACCAGTATAAACCAGTACAGTCCAGTATAACCCAGTACAGCTCACTGGAGACCAGTATAACCCAGTACAACCCAGTGGGGACAAGTATAACCCAGTATAGCCCAGTGGGGACCAGTATAACCCAGTACAGTCCAGTATAACCAGTACAGCTCACTGGAGACCAGTAAAACCCAGTACAGCCCAGTATAACCTCCTGGAGACCAGTATAAACCAGTACAGCCTGGTATAGCCCACTATGGGACCAGTATGACCCAGTACAGACCAGTATAACCCAGTACAGCCCACTGGGGACCAGTATAACCCAGTACAGCCCAGTGGAGAACAATATAAGCCAGTACAGCCCAGTATAACCCAGTACAGACCAGTGGGGACCAGTATAAACCAGCACAGAGCAGTATAACCCAGTACAGCCCAGTATAACCCACTGTCAGACCAGTATAAAGGTGCCAGAAAAAAAGCCCTTAGCCTCCAACTCTCCTGTGCAGTCGGTGAGCCACCCTTGGCACTCCATGCACAAATGGAGCTTCCTGCGCTGGCACCTTTTGTCTTTGAGGAATCTTCATTCTTAGTCCATCCGGGGACCCAGACAGGCCATTTCAGCGCGGGCCTTTGGACACCAAACCAATGACGTTCCGGGCAGGAAATAAAGGCAATGGTTGGGAACGGTGCTGTCTGCACCTGACCCCCCCCAAATGACCCCAAATAACCCCAAAATCACCCCTAAATGACCCCAAATCCACCCCTGGACCCCCAATATGACCCAAAATCACCCCAAAATCACTCCAGGACCCCCAAATGATCCCAGATCCACCAGGACCCCCAAAATCCATCTCGGGACCCCCAAAATGACCCCGAATCCACCCCGGGACCCCCAAAATCTACCCTGGGACCTCCAATATGACCCCAAATCACCCCAAAATCACTCCGGGGCCCCCAAAAAGATCCCAAATCCACCCCGGGACCCCCAAAATCCTGGTTTGGATGTTATAATCCACTATGGGGAAGATAATTCTACCGGTCCTTTAACTCTCGATGCATGAGTCCAGCCTTTTTCAGCAGTACGAATTGCTGTATCTGTGGTAAGAAGAACAACAAAGGGCCCTTCCCAACAAGGGGTTAATGAGGATTCTTTCCAGGTCTTTATTAATACCTGATCTCCAGGTTGAATTCTATGTATTGCTATATCTAAAGGAGGTCTCTGAGCTACTAATCCTTTTTTTCTTAACTCCTGTCTTCTCTTCATTAATTCAATTACATATTCTCTTAGAAAAGTATCCTCTATTTTTGGATGTTCTAGAGGGCTACCAAAATCATATGGCATCCCATATATCATTTCGAATGGTGAGATTCCTGTATCAGTACGCGGTTGGGTCCGAATATGCAATAGAGCTAATGGTAATCTATGATAGTTACAATACCGTATCTCGGAATTATTTCTTCTAATAAGATCTTAATTACTGTTTTGGCCGTACATCGTGCTACAGGAAAAGCTTCTACAAAATGAGTAAGATGGTCTACTAATACTAATAAGTAACAGTACCTCCCTACTTTGGGTAATTCAGTAAAGTCTGCTTGTATTTTCTCAAAGGGTCTTTTAGCTATCTCTCGGCCTCCTTGAATCCTCTCTCTCAGTTGCCTTTTGTTCACTTTTTGGCAAGTTAGGCATCCCTCTAGAATTCTTTTTGCAATTCCATATGCCCCAACACAAACATATTTATTTTCGAATTGATCTATTAAAGCTTGTGTTCCCCAATGTGTTTGTTCATGTAATTTAGCCATAATCCTTTGAGCAAGGCCCTTAGGGAGTATTTCTCGACCATCTGATAACATCCATTTATTATTTTCTTCTTTCGCCCCTACTTGTTGTAATTTTTCTTTTTCTTGGTTGCTAAAGCTTTTAGGGAGATTTAAATTTTCGGGGTTTGAGTTATTTAATACTAATAAAGTTGCTCTTTTTGCTTCTTCATCTGCTAGATTATTTCCCCTAACTGTGGCTTTGAATCCTTTTTGGTGACCTTTTACATGTACTACAGCAACTTTTTCCGGCTTCCTCAAAGCTTTTAATGTTTCTTTTATTAGAGTATCATGAATTAATCCCTTTCCCTGTGTATTAATTAGTCCCCGTTCTTCCCAAATTTTTCCTCAGGATTTTGAATATCAACTTCAAATGGTTTTATATTTAGTTTTCCCACAGAGTCTGGAGTATACCAGACTTCAGGGTTTATCTTTTCCATATCTTCAACTGTAAGGGTATATAACTTAACTTGTAACCCATGTTCTTTTGCTTCCAAGCCTATTCCTAATTCAATCATTAAATCTCTTCCCAATAAATTATATTCTGCTTCAGGGACTAACAAGAATGATCCTACAACATACTTCTTAGGAGTCTCTATTTCTACATTTTTAATAAGGGGTACCTTAAATGGTTCTCCTTTTGCCCCTATAACTTGTACTGAATCTGAGGATTCTACACAGCCCCAAGGTACCTTCTGAACAGTCGATCTCTCTGCTCCAGAGTCTACTAAGAACTCAATCTCTTGTTGCTGGGGACCTAATTTTAGTTTTATCAAGGGCTCTGTATTTGTCCTGGTCCCCAGCAAATAGAGCCCCTGACACCCCTAATCCTCTTGAAATACTTGCTCATCCTGCATACACTTCCTGCAATGTCTTTTTATATGTCCTTTCTTGTGGCAGTAATAGCATTCTGCTTCTGTCTGACTTGTCTGTTTCTGATTATTTGGGATTGCTCGTTTGTCAGACCCACGAGGGGTCCCACGTCTCTGCTTGTAATCCTCTTTTCGTCCCTCCCTCACTGTTGTCATAAAAATCCTTGCCTGTTTCCTCTGACTTTCCTCATCCCTTCGTACATATACCTTCTGAGCCTCTCTCAATAATTCATCTAACCCTCGCTCTTGCCAATCCTCAATTTTTTCCAACTTCTTTCTAATATCTTCCCATGATTTTGCTACAAACTGTGTTTTGAGTAAAGCTTGCCCTATTGGAGTATCGGGGTCTAGACCGGAATAGAGCTGTAAGCTCTTTCTTAACCTTTCCAACAAATCAGTAGGGATCTCATCCTTTTTTTGTTGTTCTCTAAATGCCTTATTAATATTCTGCCCCCTAGGGACTGCTTCCCTAATGCCCTGCACTATGATTGCTCGTAAATCAGACATATGATTCCTATGGGCTGGGTCCTGGTTATCCCAGTTGGGCCTCTGAAGGGGCCACTTTATGTCTGCAGCTGGTCCTTGTTGATACCTTTGGTTCCAGTTTCTCATCCCTGCCCTTCTGATCATTTCCCGCTCCTCAGCTGTAAATAATATTCCTAATATTGCTTGCATTTCATCCCATGTGTATATATTAGGACCCAAAAATTGATCAAACCTCTCAGCTACACCTAGGGGGTCTTCTAATAAATTCCCCATTTCCTTTTTAAATTCTCTAACATCCCCTGAATTTAAGGGGACCGACACGAATCCTATCCCTTGTTGGCGTCCTCCCATGGCAATCTCCCTTAAAGGGTATAGCCACATCTGCTCAGTAACCGGGAGTGTGGATGGAGAAGAGAGTTCTGGTACCGCGGCAGGGGAGGGGAAGCCGTCTAGCGGCGGGGCAGAAGGCATGGCTGATAGTTCCCGCGCGGCGGCAGGGGTGGGACAAGACAGCAAGTCCCCCGCCTCAGCAGAGGGGGCGGGGTAATGGGAAGATTCCCGCGCGGCGGCAGGGGCGGGACAAGACGGCAAGTTTCCAAACAGGGTTCTAGTGTCTGACCTAATCCATATGCTAGCGTATTCGCTCTCTTCTGCACAGAAGGGTTCCTTACTATTAACATAGATGTTCAGAACCTGACACATCCAATCCTCAAATGCACCATAGACTGGCCAATATAAATAGTCTCGCCTTATCTGCTTTCCTCCCCAGACTTCCGTACAATAATGTACCATTTTCTCCCTTGACTTCCCTCCTCCAGAGGAGTAATCATTCCAGTATCTTATCATTATTCCCAAGGGACTATTCAGGGGTATTTCAGGCAATTCCACCTCAGAATTACCCATGGGAGCAAAAATTCTACTCATTATTTGTCCCATCTTCCGGAGTGCCTACACACACACACACACACACACACACACACTTCACTCGCTTTCCCTCTTTCGTGGCCCGGTCTCTCGCTGGATACGGGGAACCCACTACCAGAAGGTCCGCACTCGCTTTGTCCCGACGGATGTCTCAGTTATTCGCACTCCGGGACCCCCTCCCAAACCGAAAGGGGGATCCGCAAAATACTTACCTCTCCCTGGGTAAGTCTTCGTTCAGCTCCTAGCCAAACGGTCCCTTCCCCAACCGGACGGCACCCACTATTATACTTACTACTCCTGAGTAAGCCTTCGCACGACTTAAGTCGAGCGGCCCCACCCGGTTGCAAGCCGGGCGGGTTCCTTAATCACTTGCTCTCTCCCCGAGCAAGTCTTCGGAGTTCATGCACGAAAATTACGGGGAACTGCAGTAGTTTATTTGCTTAATTGCCTTCAAAATTTCGTTTGAATATTTGGAATCTGTGCTGCAGGAGTCCCCCCTGAGCCGTCCAACAGGGACGGGGGCGCCCTCTCAGAGAGAGAGAATCCCACCACACAGGGATCCAAATCCGAGTCACGGCACCAAATTGTTATAGTCAAATGATCAGATATAATTTTTTTTTTTAAATATATTGTAGAAATTTATTGAAGGCAAATAAGCAAAACAGCGCGCTGGAAGACCCGGGGAAACTCCTGTTCCGCCAACGGTCTTCCCGCCAAAAACGTGTAATGATCTTTTATATGTGCCACTATTCCCTCCCCTTTAGGCGGCGCCTGGATGCCGGGTGGCAGGTCCCAGATGGAGGTGGTCCTCAGATGGCAGCGGCTGCTCTCGGAGCGGGGCGAGTGGCTCCTCCCTCGGGCCGGCTCCTCCCTCGGGCAGCTTGCTGCCACGGCTGCTCTGCCGCTCGGCTGTGACAGGCTGTGCCGGGGGTTGTACCGCTCGGCTATGCCCCTTTTATCCATATCTTTATAGGCACATTTAAAGCTTACATTCAGAACTTGTTTAACATAGTAAGATATAGCTTTCCATAGTAACATAACATTGTGGTTTGACATTTGTAATTCAAACTAACCACTAACACTAACATTGCAAAGATAATTTGATTAGCAAATTATTTATCTTTGCCTTTATTAACTATTTCAGGTTTCCTTTCGCGGGCTTCCCCGATATTGGTCCTTGCTTTCGCGGGCTCCATCTCACCACCTGAGCTCAGCCAATGTTTTGGTTAGACCAATGTTTTGGTTAGACCATAGTCCTTAGTGTCTGCCACCTGGAAATTTCCAGAGGGGGTAAGTCCTTTCCTTTGGTTCTTTGCTGTTTCATTCTATTCTGCTTCCCTATAAGTCTGCTCAGAACAAACACTTATAAAATGAGAAGACATAACATAGAAATTCATAGCAAATTATACCTATTGCTCCTTATTACCTATTACAGGCACAGCATTGTGGCTTGATACCTGCAATTCAAACCAACCACTAGCATTACAAATATAATTTGATTAGCAAATTATCCACCTTTGCTTTTATTAACTATTACAGCCCTGATACCTGTGTTGTATCTCTTAGACCAAATATTTGACTAGCATTATCTTTACATTTACAATGAAATAATGAACAGAAGGGATAAAGCTTTCAGAAAAAATTCTTCCCTATGAGGGTGGGGAGGCCCTGGCACAGATTGCCCAGAGAAGCTGTGGCTGCCCCATCCCTGGAAATGTCCAAGGCCAGGGTGGAAGGGGCTTCGAGCCACCTGGTCTAGTGGAATGTGTCCCTGCCCATGGCAGGGGGGTTGGAACTTGGTGATCGTTAAGATCTTTTCCAACCCAAACTATTCTGTGATTCTGTGAGAAAATTTCCCACCAAACTTCATTGCTGCTGCCCTTCACTTTGCTTTCTTCTCCTTCAAGATTTTGTTGACGTGAATTGTTCAGATGTTATTAATTTAGGAATACATTCTTTTGTCAGCCGCTAGGAAAGCAGAAATTGTGAAATCTTAGAAGTCCTGAACACAGGCACCCTCTAGGAAGTGTTAAATGTATAAAACTTAAATATATATTTACTTTAGTGTACAATTCACGTAGTTAAAATCGGCTTTCCAGTTTGAAATGAGCACCTGCTCTGTGATGTTAACATATTGTTTCTCTGCAAGGTATCAATGGGAAAGAAAAGCCTGGAAAACAACCACAGAGAATTGTGCCTGATGGCTTCTGAAGCTGTTTTGTGACCAATAGAGATTAGACTTTAATCAATAAATCTGTCTCTATTTTCACTGCAAGATGAAAAAAGTTTGCAGTGCCAAAGCTGAAAGGCACATTTTTTTCCCCCCATTCAATAATTTTTTTTTTTTCTCTTCGTGCTCACTGGTGACAGAGCAGGAGTTTTGTAGGGATGCAATACATTTCATAAATTGGTTCCCATCAGAGATATGGTTGACTCCTGGACAGCAATCTGGATACACTGGAGGAAGCGCTTAATAAACATGGGTGTGGCAGCAAGAAAAGAATAAACACAATTGCTGAATCGTTTTGTTTCAGTCTGTGGAGGGAAATGAGCCAAAAGAACTCCAGGTAGCAGCTAGGATCTGGCTTGTAAGAACTGCTGAGAGACCACACTATTTGTCAGACTGCCAAGGAAATAAGGAAAAAAAAATCTCATGCAGTGTATATTGCTTTTTGGATTGAAGCACAGTTTTGAGGCCATACATATGGCAAACTAGCTTACTTTGTGGGAATACACTATGGTCTTTCTGTGAATTGCTCAGGCTTATGGGTCATCCCCTTGATCTTCCCTCTTTTGTGAGAGGCCAAAATTTTTTAAAAGAAATACATCCTACAAAGACAAAGAAGCAAAGTGCAGAAACTTCTCCTGGGAAAGGATGAACACAAAATGCAGGAGTAGGGTGGCTGTATCCCATGCCTGTGGTCAACATGAGGTGGCAGAAAGGCAAAGTTTTCTGCTCCTGAGGTTATGTAAATCTCTGAAGAATGTGGCTGCTTGTTTTGCCAGAGATCATCCTAAAGATGCAGATGTTCTTTAAGTAGAGGCAGTAAAACTGATTGCTTTACTTTCAGAATTGGTGCTGCAGAACATAAGTAAAGGGATTAAGGGATGAAATTAATTCAGTGATTGTTCTGTCCAGGGCAGAGTGATGAAAGGGAAAGGATCCCCGATTTAGAGGATCTGGAAAAAAGGAATGCAAAGAGTGTGTGGTTTTTCTTTGTTATACATGACACTTTTTCAACCCAAATATCTGATTGTACAAAAACGTGCAGCACTTTAATGAAAAATAACAGTTGTTCTGTAATGAGAAAAAAAGGCAGACCATTTAAGTTATATTTGATTTCTAGAGTTTTGATCTCTCATCAGCTGTGTATGGTTTTCAGAGTGTTGATTTTAAGATATGCTGACCCCTCAGTTGCTAGTGAAGCCAACTGGATGACAAATATTTTACATTTCTTATAGTGGTTTCTGAATTCACGTTATTTCCCAATTTCGCTTTAGAGTTTAAGATTACAAATCTGAGATTTAACTTTACTACTATTGGGAATGATTGAGGGGTTCAAAAAGAGGACTAACTTCAGATCCATGGCTGGAGAGCTCTCAGAACAGAGAATTGCTTTGGAAAACATGTTCAAAACTGTATGTTCAACGCACTAAAGCAGTTTAGAGTTGAGCTAGGCTTCCCAATGCATCAGAACCAAGACCAAATTCCTGGGCTCAGTCTGGATCCAGGTGATGTGATGAGCCCACTGCAGGTGGGGACTGTGCATCTATAACGCTTGGATTTTTGATTTCCTTCGCAGCAGGCTTTGTCTGATGTCAGGAATGCTCCCTATGATGATATGAGACTTCCACAGAGAGTGAGATATTAAGAAAATATAAGAAACAATAAGTCCAAACCCATAATTTCAAAAGAAATTTGTACTTGGACCACAAAAAAATTATGTCCTGTAAAAGCAAAAAGAAAAACATTCAGGATTTTTTTTTTAAACTGTGTAACTAAATATTTATCAGAAATATATGATGTGCTTACTCAAATATGGAGTCATAATGCTCAGTGTCTGCTTTTCTCCCACTTCATCCCGTTAGGAAATGTGAAGATATCTCATTCTGGGAACTTGATTTGTCATTTGCATTAATATAAGCAGGACAAACTGTCCTTAATTCTGACATTAATTTTGCAAGGCACCATGATATAAATGGTAAATTCTCTGCACCAAGTCTGTTACCATAGGAAAGCAAAATACTGCCTATTCCTGTGCTGTGATGTTGCATTTACACTCTCATAGACACAGTTCTAGTTAATCTGCTTTCTGTGATTTACTGGTTGTTTATCAGAAGTGAGTGTCTCCTAGGAGACTCTTATTAATGTTTTTTTTCTTTACGTTTCACCCTCTGATTAGGAGAATAAAAAGTGATATGCCAGTTAAACCCACACTACCCATTGTACTTAGCATCTCTTCTCACTGCAGCTGATTTACAGGTTGGTGAGTCCTGGTGTGCTGAGGTGTTTCAGCTCCATATGTTTAAAGTGGCCTTTAGGTGTGATCAGGTTTCCTGCAAAATTCCAGCCTCTGAAATGTCTCTTCATCCTTGGCATTTTTCTGTTTTCTGTAATTAGCGTTGTCAATTTGCTTTGCTTTGTGATCTGTGGTGGAGAGGGGTCTGTAGTTCCAGACTGCAATTAGCAGAAGCAATGTTTTATTTTGCTTGATTTATAAGAAGGCATCTCATTTTTTTGATACCAGATGGTTTATTCACCTTTGTTTCTTTTCTTTCCCTGTTTGTTTGTAAACTGTTCCAGTGAGCTTATGCACCCTGTGCTGGGTTTTGTCCTGGAAAGATAAGCATTGCAAACTCTTCATGGGCTGCAGAGAAGGGATAATTTCAAAGAAATATTTTACTGATAGCAAAGAGAAAATGCTTTGTGTTTAAACACAAGAACCAATCAAAGACTCACCCAGCACAAGCAAAGTATATTACCTTGTCTTTATTCTTCTGTAAAGATGGATCTTTTTAGAATTTATTACTGACAAATGCCTAGGAGATTAACCTGTTTTCTTAATGGCAATTTATAATGATATTTTAATCTTCTCTGTGTAATGCTCCCTTGCCCAGAGGAAGTGAAAACAGCTCTAGCATGAAGAAACCCCGTTGCTGTGGGTGACAGTGAGTTGCCCTCACTGATATTCCCGCTAGTCAGTGGAAGTGTTTACCATTTCCCACTGCAGGAATCCCTCCTGAAGACTCCATATGTCTGGGCCAGACAGTTTCTGGAAATATGCCACAGCCAAGGACAGAGGAGTCCTGCTTACATTTTCAGTATGCTTAGGCAAGACTCCTCAAGGTGTATTTATGGCATCAGTTTTGTGAAGGTGTGGAATGTGTCAATGCACCCAAGACCTTTCTATTTTTTAGTAAAGCTGGTTTAGCAGGGGCAGTCAAAGGAGCATTCAGCATGTTTTGGAAATCCATGGAGCAGTTTTTTCAGCACCAGTGTTCTTGCTACAGCCGGGGGTAATAAAACAGCAGGGTGCCAAAAGCTGAATGAAAACAGCAACTGATTGACTCTTTCTCTGCTAAAGACTCCCGACTTCTGGAGGGAGTGACATGCATATGTAGCTTGGCCATTCTGCAAAGCCTGTCTTTGCCATATTTCTGGAGCAGGAGTTCTAAGCACTCCCTTTTCCAGCTGGGAAATACATTTACAAAGCAATTTACTTACTTGTTTTTAATGGACTCTTTTGACTTCCTTGAGGTCAGTACACAAAATTTCTGCAGTAGCGTGACCTGATCTAACCACAGATGCCTTCTGAGATCTTGGAGGATAACCTCAGCACCCAGAACATCCTCTCTTTCCCTGTTCCATGTCTCCTGCTTAGTGAGGATAACAGCTACTGGTTTCAGCTAAGGATAATAACTTCTAAAACATGGCTGTCTTCAAAGTATCTGGAAACAATGCGAATGACCAGAATTAGAGGAGAAGGAAGCATGTAAGTGTTGTTATTCTTCTATGGTTGAGGAAAAATTTTGGAAATGAGTTAGCACTAATGAATGTGCAGGTAGCTGGATGTGCAGAAATGTGGTAACATTATTTATCACACAGCCTGCAGTGTAGTTTGCTTTTTATTTCATATGCTGCTACTGTTGGACCTGTGCTTGCGTGGGGAAAGAATTGGATCCAAAGGCTCTTGGGTTTTTTATGATATGTAATTTAATCAGTGGTCTGATACTTTGATATATGTAGGTTGGGTGAGACTAGGGAACTTAACCAAACTAGGTTAGGAACTCATATTATTGCCACCTGGAATAAATTCTCATTAGAGTTATGGTTTATTTTCCCTTTTCCATTCAAATGATAATGATTAAAAGTCTGTTAAAGACATTATTAACTACAGGTTGTGCTTACCTTGTGTAGAAACTCCATCCTGGGAATACACGAGATCTGTTGGAAGCACTCTCTGACTATGCCTAGGTCAGGCTGCAAATGATCTTCCCTAAGTTTGCTGAACAGGAAAGGATTAAACTATGAACAGTTGAATGAGATGGATAATAGGGTTGAAAGTCTTTGATCTAGGCTACCAAATTCAATCTAACACTGTTCAAGTTTTATGGATGGTTGGGAAAGGACTGTTTTTTTTAGTCACAGGCTGTTCAACTCCAAATGGAAAAACCAGTGGAAATGAGCTGTCAATTGATAACGTCCACGTGGAAATAATTTAGTCTGGGAATTATTTCTTGGCTCAGATGATGTTAGTTGGAAATCTCAGGGAACTCCTGAGGAGGCCGATGCCCACATCACAGAATTATTGTCACAGGGTGCCTGAGTTAGCAGTCTCAGCAGACACAGTGTTTGGCTTGGTTCTATTCCTCTATTTGTCTTAGGAAGAAGCCTACTGCTGGGAGACCCCGATTACTCCTCTATCTGTGAAACAGAGGTTGGGTGTTTTCATTTTTCCAAACCTTCAGTCTCAAATCTCTGATTATCTGAATAAAGAAAAATAAACATACGCTGTCAATTGTGATAACGACTGAACTAGCTGATGGCTTGAGAAGGATAAATTTGACATCTAGGGAGATGTGTCCCCAGCACTTCCCAGTTTTAAGCCCACAAGAAACCTCACCATCTTTTGTAGCTGGCCTGCACAATTCATTGCTTAAGCAACATTGTGTTAATAAAATGTTTTGCAATCAACCTGCTGTTGAATAATCAGGGCAGGCTAAATGCGGATTGGTGGAAGGATAGTAGATCTTAGACACACATATACCTCTATTTAGCATAGATTAAATAGCTGAAGAGCTCAGGGAAAAAAAAAAAAAAAGGAAGCAATATTGAAACAAGACTTCATTTTTAGTTTGGAACTTGTTCTGTGATATTGCTTTGTCCAAAAGTAGTTCTGCATATGTAGAAAAAATGCTTGTGGATCACAGAGACTGATGTTAACGGCTGGGAAGACAGCGCAATGTAGCCTGTTAACAGAAGAGCTTTGATCTGCACAGAAAATGATTTTGAGCAGATAGACACACATATACATAAAGCAAGATTAATTTAGAGACCTTTGTCATTAAGGAAGATTTTTTTATGGTTTTGTGTGGGATTTAAGGGGGATTAAATGTTTGACATCACTTTGCCTGCACAGGCGATGTGGAAGAGGTTACTGAGCGGGTGATGGAGAATTTAAAAACACGCTTGTGGTGAAGGAGTGGAAGCAATGGATCAGACTGCAGCCTGGCCAAACAAACTACTGGACCTACCACATTTCTGAGAACCAAGTGCTTCTGTTTTGACAGCAGATGCTGCAGGGATGTAGAGCTGAAGAAATATTTATGATTTACCAAAGTATGAGGGGAACTCGGCAAGGACGTCAGGACTGGGATGCCCCTTTGTTTTCTGTTCAGTGATGCCTTGCTTCCCGTGCATTTTTTGTAAGCTATGCTGTTTCTAAACAGTAAAAACACTGAAAAGAAGAAGTCAGCAAGGTGGATTGGGTGATCAGGTGCATTTCTCTCTCAGAAGAGATGGTCCTGGTCATGAAACTTCTGTTCCTCACCTGCCTGTGGCCAACAGCAACACTACACAGCTCTCACAGTCAGCACCACCACCTTCATCGTCGGCAGCAATTGTCTTTCTCAAGAAAACATACCAGGTAAGCAACATACTTTATCTGTCAATGTTCCTCTGGTGAACTTCATGATGTCAGATAACTTTCAACGTTCCATTTTTGTTCACTGTCCTGTTTTGCTGCTTCTGGATTTATAGTAACACATAGTATTGATAGAGTGTTTCCAAAACAGAAATGGTGAACTATTAATTAATTAATTTTTCATAGCCAGACATTTCATATTGTGATTTCATGACTCCTTCATATATATATGCAGGTATATGCCCACTCACACCCAGCTCTTTTATATTGAGTGATATAAGGCTACTGGTGTGACACCAGACTACTACTGTGATATAGCAAGTATTCTTGCCCTCTCATTCCCATTAAAATAAGAAGAAATGCCTTCCAAAGTGCTTTCATGTTATCAAGTGACTTCCATTACCTAAGCAGCAGAGTAGCTACACTGTAAAGATACAGAAGACATTTTTATTGCACTACATGAGGTGAATTATAGCTTATTTACAGTGATGGCACAGTGCGTTCCCTTTCTGGAATATTCTTGTACTTTTATACATTGAAGTATTAAATGTCTCTGTTTGTGCTTTTTCCAATCAAGTAGCTGGTTGGAAATGAGTAATGATACAGAAGTTTTTACATGTGAGTTTCTGTGCAAAGTGTTAGTGCTTTTTGCCCCCAAGTGCAATTTCACATCTGCCCTGTGAGGTCTCTCAACATGTTTCCAGGTTAATCTACTAGTGTGTGAACAGAGCAATGACTGCCAGTGATGATCCAAGGAAAATTTCTCTTTGTTAGAATAAGTATCTCCATTTAAGGGAGGAGAAGGGATACAACTGCTAGATTTTTCAGTGTGCTTGACCCCCTACTAAATGAACAGGAGAGCTCATAGTTTATTTGTACAGTATCACATATTGAAGAAAAGGAATATAAGTGGACTCCTCTGATGTGCTCAAGTTGGTTTTTCTTTCCTGAAGTTGCATGCTTTGTAGCAGGGCTACATCTGTTCACCTCCTGTACCACTTCTTATGTGGTAATCCATCAGGGAAATATCTCTGAAACTCTCTATGTCTTGATAAAATCATGTTTAAGCCATGCAAGGTAACAGATTACACAACAGAGGTGCCTGGAGATGTTGCATCACTCAGTACCTCTGGGTTTCTTTTTGAAGGTATCGGTTCAAGTTTGGTCTAAGCCAAAAGCTCATGAAAAGCATGGCTATTCAGCAGATTGTTTCAAACTCACTGACAGCTTTTGTGAGTGGGCGCTGGTGCAAAATTATTTGTAATAACAAAGGAAAATAAACAGAACTAGCCCTGGTATCAACATAAGGTTTAATCTGGTGCTTTGCTTGTCTCAGGAAGCAGTTAAAAATCAAATGGAACCAGCATAAAATACCTTGTTATTGCTGATGGTAGTGGCAAGGAGAGTCTGTTTTAAGCCCAGCTGATACATTTTGTCTGTGTTAAAAGGTAAGCATACACTCCTGTTTGCATTTATCCTGTTCTGCAGTAGCTGAGAGCAGTCGCTCCATCACTGACATAAAAAATCACAAAGCAGGAAAGAAACCTGGTGGTAGGAGAAAACAGATTTTAAGGCATCTTGCTGAACATCCTCTTGCCACAGGACAGCAGTACCAACACTAGCACAGTGTCCTCTCCACCTTCACAGATCTTTACTAATGCATATACATGGCTCCATGTGACAATCCTGTGAGACAGGCGTGGTGTTAACAGCAAAGCAAGAATAGGAACAAGGAGAAATGCCGGGACTGCAGTTTTCTTTACACGAGGCATGCTTTGCATCTCACATATTCCACTTCCAAGGTCCCAAGGATTTCAAACTGGGAAGAAACCTGCAGAATCCGAGCCACACAATCCTGGATCCCAAAGCTTATCAGCTGCAAATCCAGCCTTTCTCTGCAAAGGGTCCAAATGTGTTTAATTTATCTTTGTTTCATTCTCTGTTTTTGTTCTAAAGTAAGAATTATCTTCATTGCAACAGGGTCTGAGTTCCACCAGCCTCTTTTTCTTTCTGGGGAAAAATCAGCCAGCACGAGGGTTATTAGGGACACAGCTGACAGATGGCTGTGTTTAAATGGGTGGCCTTATAAAAAGAATCCCATGTGAAAATATTACTTAACCTACAAGTTCCACTGTTTTAATAGAGTAACCCAATTCTCCCTCCAAAGCTATTTGTCTGCATTCTCCTGTAAAGAAGATTTTAAAGCATTAACCAAAAGTACATGAGAAAGCGATTATTCTCGTGGTCCATTTCCTACAGCAAAGAATAAAACATTTGATTGTCAAAACGTTGGGCTTTTTGACATTGCATGTTGCTGATGTTACTGAACACTTAGAAATGCATTTTTATGTGTGTGAGAGAAAACTAGATAACTTTGATTAATACATTTGTCTGGTCTTCAAGACTTGGTAAATTTGTTAAAACATTTAAGAGATCACGCTGTTGTGTAACCCCACAGATCCTTCTGGGAGTAAGATTTCTGTAACTTCTATCTTTTGGATACCTTTGATTTAGTAGTAGATAGAGTATCTTGGGGACACAGCACTGGAAAGAAACTTATGGCCATGAAATCTAGGGTATTCTTTTCATGAAAGGGTCCTTAATATTATTCTTTTCATAAACTTATCTATTTTCACAAGATATTTTTAACAAGGTATTTTTCCCTACTAAAACGGAAGAACAGCCACACAGGATCTTACCAAAGGTCCGTGTACTACACTGAGTTTATAACAAGGGCTTGTAAGCACAAGTTTGGAAGAATAAGGACAGGGCAAACAAGGTATGTCTGCCTAGTACTCCCAGCTGTGTCAGGTCACCAAATTTCCTTCAGATACATCCTGTGTTGGATGTAATTTCTGTAGATTTAGTGTTCTTCAGTGGATTTCTTTTCTGTGAACTTGTCCCATTGCTCCCTGAACCAGCATAAACTTCTGATAACCTGGTTAGGTAGAAGACAACCAGCTAGGATAGTAACCACATCAGTGCCGCGAATGCCATGGGTTATGGAACTACCCTGGTGGCATTAAATGATTAAATGCTTTAAACAAAAGTGATCCAAGTACCTTTGAGCAGACCTTTGACCTTTCATTTGCTAATGGGAATCAAGGTTAGGCAGGAGCAGCTCAATTTACCTTTAAAAACCTGACACATCTTTGTCCATTTTTAAATACTTCCGAATTAGTTGCTGTGGTTTTGTAGGCAGTGAGTAACTGCTCTTTGAGAGCCCAGATGCTGATGTTAAAGGAGCATCTGCTGGAGAACACTTCTTAGCCCTAGGTTGTGAGAAGCAGTCAATAGGAGAAAAATGTGAAGCAGAAGTGTATTATGTTTTACTTACCTTAGAAATTTTAATGACATTTTTCCAAATTTTGGTACCTTTACAGATGGAATGTTACCAGTGTCCATGAAGTTTATCCCAAGCACTCTGAGCATGTATCTCTGCATGTAAACCTATTTTCCTTTACTGTAAAGGCTTATAGGAAGGTATTGAAGAGAAGATGTAGCATGTTTATCTGACACCTGCAAGACGTTGCCTGGCTTGAACAACCGCTTTTGATAGCAGCTAGAAATAATTCTAGAATTCCACCATTTGTATATATAAAACATCAGCTGTTCAAGTAAGTAGGCACAAGAGATGCTTTTCATAGAGGCAGCATTTCTGTTTATTTTGTCCTCATTCAGGAAAATAGAAGGAATACTAAAATCCCATAACATCTCTTCTCAGTGGCTTATTAAGTAGAACATTTCCACTCTGGCGGTTTCTGCCCAGGCTGCTTCTTCCAGTGAAATCAGGGGAGCATCAAACAGCCCTTTTTCTTGGCACATCTGCTGACAGATAACCCACTGCTTCCAAAGTGTGTGAGCTGTGCCATGGCATTCGGAGCACAGTTCATCATCTCCTCTTACACTGGTTCCCAAGCAGCAGAATTTCCCTGTTGCAGACCATTGCAGCTCTTCAGTCCTGCTACCCATTCTACTCAAACACAGGCTTGCTCTGTGGTGGTTTTAATTCCCTGAAGGACAGTGTTTCATTTTAGCATCCATGAGATTTTCCTACTTGGAAAACTTACGGTTGTGTTTGACGTGCCTGATGGGCCTTCTGATTGCCCTGATCATTTGATTTAGCCAACATTGATACAGACCTTCAAGGGTACTAAGGTAAATTAATTTGTTCAAACCCAACGGTTCTGAGTAGCCCTTTGGCCCCCACAGCATTCTTGTAATTTTAAAGTAATTTTTAGACTTCATTGTCAAGAAAAAAGGGGGGAAAGGAGAAAAATAAGTAAATACAGGCCCACAACTTATCCTGAAGCATTCCATACCGTGCCTTAAACAGTGTTTGACTACAGGGCCAATCTTCAGAACAGATATCTATCAGTCAGTCTAAAGTAATAATTGGAGTTGCTGGCAGCAAAGTCCCAGAGGATCACAGAAAGCATGAAAGAAGTTTTGTCTAGGGAGAATCCCTTGCCTGTGGCAAAGTAGTTGTATTTGAGCCATTCCTACAAAGAAATGTCTGACCTATTCTTAAACAGCCTGAGTGAAAAGAGTCTCAAAAGCTGTCCAAGCAATACATTCCCATGTTTCACTATTCTCACCATGAGAAAGGTGATCCTAATGTGTGCTATAGAACATTGACTCCTGAGATCACGTAGTGCCAATCCCCTCTGCCATGTGCAGGGACATCTCCCGGAAGACCAGGTTTCTTAAAACCCCGTCCCATCTGGCCTTGAGCACTTCCAGGGATAAGGCATCTGTAACTTTTCTAGGCAATCTGTTGCAGGGCCTCACAAACCTCTCAGCCAAAGAATTTCTTCCTAAAATCTAATCTAAACCTACTTTCTTCCTGTTTAAAGCCATTACCCCTGCAAGTCCCTAGATCCAGGGTCATAATTTCTCAGTCCTTCTTAAAAATTATTGACCTATCTGAGCTCCTAGGAAAAAGCTCACATTTATAAAAAAACAATAATTGTCTCTCTAATATGGATAATGTTATGAAATGGTTAATCCATGGGTACGTGGTGTTACCAAGTTTGGGTTTCATGTGTTGATGTGAATAATAACTTTTTTCCAAACAGCTCTCTTCTCTTGTATAATGATAGATACAATCTTTGAGGGGAACAGAAGGAGATCATGATGTTCTTCCTGAGGCTTCTTATAAATAATTGGTATTCTTCATGGACCTGGGCACTCTCATACCTCATTTCCCAACCTTTCCCAATATATCTTTCTCCACCTTTATTATCACAGTTGTTACCCTTATCACACCAGATTCAGCTGTCTGGTATTTTTGGGTCCCTACTGTTGGGGAGCCCAGCTGGTTCTGGGCTCTCAGTAAGCTGAAATACTGCAGATGAAACTTCTTACACCTGGCAGAGGGTTAACCACGGACAGTGGGGACTGTGACACAGTGGGTTTCCTGTTAGAATGTCAGCCTATTGTGTTAGGACATGTGGCTGTGTGTCCAATCATGAGTTGTTATAAAGTGGTAAACCAATGCTGTGTGTACATGTGTCACCCCAGAACTGTATAAAGGTAGCTGCACTGTTGCAATAAAAAAGCTGCTGGTATCCTGAAACCCATGTCGCCCCCCGCCTCGAACGTGACACCCTACTTCATTTAACCAGCAATCTGAATGTCAGACAGAAAACAAAAATTAAGTTTCTTGCCTTTTTTTTTTTTCTTTTTTAAAACAAAGCAAACGAGAAATTAAAATGAGGAAACTTGACAGCACCAAAGTACGGCCACTTAAATCTGAGCAGCTGCTTCACATAGAGGACCATGACTTTGCACTGAGACCTGGATTTGGAGGTAAGCAGTGCACACCTGCCTTCTCTCTGGAATGAGACTTAATGGCAGAGCACCTCTTTTGTGCTTCAGGAAATAAATGAAGAAGAAATCTAAAAATACTTGATGGCAAAGGGGACTTTTCTGTGTTTAGAGCATCAGTAGGAGAAGTTTGTCCTTGTCGAATTGTTTCCTTCACAGAACTAATTAAAATAAAATATTTTTAGAGTAGGATTCTTTGAGAACAGTGATTAAGGTATCCCTGTAAACTGTATTGTCTAGTAGCAATTAGCAAATTACTTAGTCACCAGATTTGTTTTGGGAGATTGAAATGAACTGTCAGTTCCTAAATCTCTTTGCTCTGTGCAGAATTAAAAAACTACCCCCAGGCCTTTAGTTTATCACCATGTTGTTTCTGTGTTGATGGGCACTATGATGATTATTTCTTCATTTAACTCAATTGTATCTGGATAAAGGGAGTATTTAATGGGATATTCACAGTTTAGATTAAATTTTAAGTCTCCTTCATGAAAGGGGAAATGAGAAAGCTGCCCTATAATAAGCTTTATCTGAGCCTCTACATCACCACTTCTGTTTCATGATTCATGAAAGTATACCGAACTGCATTGGGTTATGAAGTCAAAATAAAATATAAGGACCAATAATCAGTTGTGTAGACAAATATAAATCTGGAAGACTGGCTGAAGTCTGTGGAGCTATTCCTGTTAACGCCAGCTGGTGGGATCTTGGGCCTTGACAAGTATTTCAGGAGACATGGGTTAAGAAGAGCCTCTCTGGATACACTGGGACAATGTGAAAGGGTTTCTTGTTACCATAGAAATTATGCCGTGTCAGAGATCAGAAATCTTGCCTGATTTTGAAGAATGGTTGAGATACAGTATGTTTCTTGGCAACAGAAGTTCAAATTACCTCATAATATCTGTTAGTCTGGACCTCTTCTTGTTGCCACCTGCTTTGCCACACTAAAGAATTTAAGTTTTTGGAAGTGTCATCTCAGAAAGGAAGCAGCATTTCCATCAAAGCAGGCAGAAGTCTGAGATGTACTTCGTTGCTGGATCATCCCAGAAAGCAATACTTATGATGTACATACATAAAAGCAGCTTTGAGAATATACCCTGTGATCTAGCAGTTGTAATTTTCCACGGGCAGTGAGGAAATCCCAAATTTATACTCCATTGTTCCTGTTTTACCGTTGATTTTAGTGATGTTGCGGTAAAAAAGAACGGTTTGGGTTTCACTAGAGGCAGCAGCAGAGGATTAATGCACAAGTGTGCTCTCATCAGTGGACAAATATCACAACTGAAACCTGAATCTGAATAAGAGAATTGTTTTGATAATAATAATGAGAATTGTTTTGTGACGGCAGAGACAGGGTATGGGTTTCTCAGAAGAATGCTGGTGATTTAGTGTGCAGCAAAAGGAAACTCACCTAGAGGAGAAGTTGAAATTAGAGACGTCATTGCCACAGCAATGACAGCCCTGAACTGCATAAGGACTTACTGTGGCTTTGTGTATTTAAAGCAGGTGAAATTTTGGGTTTGTTTTCATCAAAGGTAACGAAGCATCTCAGCATTGTGATTTATGAGGGGCTTGTATCTGTCACATGCCACGTTGCATGATTTATTCAGCTCAGCATGATTCATCAATTCAAAACAGAGGAAAATAATATCAGGTCAAAAAAGCTGGATGGAAAACAAGAATTTATTCTCCACCTTTAGAAAAGGGACAATGTTTTCCCCCTCTCCTATGCCCTATTGGGATTTTCTGGGTATTTCAGGTAGTTGGAATGACAGATTTTGTTAATCTGGCTCCATTGTGCCCCTTTCTCTCAGTCAGTCAATCCTCCTTTGCACCAGTTTAGGAAAATAAAAACAGCTGGAAAATTCTGTGTTAATGCTGTGTTGAACCTGCTGGAGATTCCTCAGTGCGCTGAACTCTTAAATCTAAACATTTGATTTCATTTAGCCCCACACATGCAATGTAAATGAGGCAGATTAAAGAACCTAGAGTTTTTAGCATCTGTAATTAGGTTACAAATGAAAAACAGAGCATAGCTCTATATGATTTATAAACTAAGCAAACATGCAGAGGGAAGAACCTGGAGGAAATGAATGTGGAACTGCTGGATCCTGTTGCTACTGGCTGCAGTGTTACTAGGATTAATTGTGACTTTGCTCACATGACTGGTTGCTTTCTTCTGAAAGTTTATTATTGCTCTGTGGAGGTAAGAAATCCTTTTTCTTGACCAAATGGAAACATATCTGCTGTAATTTATGTGAGTGTATCTTTCTTAACCTACTCCCTAAGCCAGGCTCTTCAGTTGTTGGTGGAAGAGGTGTGGTGTTGGTGTTTTTTTCCTTTCCTGAATTTTTTGTTGCTGTTTGATTGTTGCCTTCTGTGTAACGTCATGGTCTGGCATTGTTTGGAAGTCTCCAGTAGATGGATCCCCTGTTGATGCAAACAGAAGTGGACCAGCATAATGATCTGAGTAATTCCACTAGAATTGGACTAGGAGCATGGAATTTTCCTTTGCTCTTACAGCCTTACCAGCTGCATCAGTGAGCATCGTAGGAATTTTGTTTGGGCCTTGCTGGTTGAAGAGGCACTGACAAAGGCCATGAGGTGGGAATGTGAGGGGTTCTGCAATGGTATGATGATTCCTGCCAGGCCTGGTAGGGCGGTGTGTCTGCACAGGTCCTACCAAAGGAAGCAAAGGACTATGAGTAGGCTCAGAGGCAGATCTTGTCATGGTTTGTGTATCATCTTCTGCCGTGGCCCAGAGTACTTCAATGGATTTTTCAATGTGTGAGCAGACACCTGAAATTTGGAGTGGAGAAGAAGCAAGAAATTAAATGATGCTGCGAGCACTTCTTGGAATGATTATCATCATTCCAAGCTGAGCACAGGCCAGTGCCAGACAATGAAGAGAGACTTGTAGCAGCTCAGATCTGATGGCCCCATAGCAGCCAAAACTGCACACTGAGAGAGGTCCTGAAGTGAATCTTAGAAATACTTTCTTTTCTAATATACACCTATTTATCTATAACCTTTTATTTTCTGAACTATCTTATTTCAAAGTACTGGGAAGTGGTATGAGCCCTTGGTTTCCTGAGTTCTGTCTCCACTTACTGAAAATTAATATTGCCACTAAAAAAAGATCCTAGACTAGCATATAGAGGAGGTCATTCTTTTATTCCTCTGTACATTGGTTTTCCTGGCAGTGAAATCCTTCTACTCACTTCCTGAACTATTTTGCACTTCAGAATTTATGGAACCACAAGCTCATAATCCCTGTGTACATGCAAGTTCTCACTGTGTGTTTACATATATATACACATATAAGTATGGCAACTTTGTTTTTCTTTTACATTGTGGCTTAAGGACCTGTGATTTCCTGTGCTAATGATATGTTAGTTAGAGTTTTAAAATTTCTTATCCCTGCTTTGTCAACCAATGTAGAGGATAATAACATTACAAGTATTAGTAATGATGGAAAAGAATTCAGCAGCATTTAGCTGGTCAAGAGGTAACAGCCTTTACTGACAATTTGCATCCCAGTGTGTAAATAAGTATGATCTTAATTCTGAATTTTCTAATAGCTCTTTGCCACCAAGTTGTTTTATTTTTTGCACCACAACTCTCCCTGAAAGATGAGAATTATCTTCTCACCATGCTGAAGACTCACCCTGAAGAAAGTGGAATGGCTTTTTATCATCTGTTACTGGAAGGAATAGCTGGGGTCCAGGACCAGGAAGGAAATATTTTGGTTATTTGCAAGACCTCTGATAGTAATCTTCTGGGTTTTTTTATTTTACATTGAGAAAAAAATCCAGAACATTGATAATTCTTCCATCCCAAGAGTTGGCTACTGCTAATACCAGTCTACCTTCATTTCTCACATAAATAAAAAAGAAACAGAGCAGTACCAAGAAGAAAATATTATTGCCAGTAATTCTCCTGTTTCTATCATTGCCAGGGGAAAGTAAACACATCCACATATTTTCACTTCCCTGAGGCTTGTTTACATTTCTATACAGTTTTCTTCCTCTACAGGTCCTCAAGCCTTTTTAGAAGAAAGTAATCCCATAGGTCTTAATCCTCTCCTGGTCTCTGTCTCCTACTGGGAACTTTCTGTAGGCTTTGGGGACTTTTTTCCCCACATAGACTGTTACAAAGCCAACTGGGATACAGTGACTAGTGTTTCTAAATTCAGCATTTATTTTAGGGAACTTGCTGTGTGCTCAAAGGCCTGACTACTATAAAAATACTATAGAATTCCAGTCACTGTAGAAATTGGTCCTAAAAATGCTAAAAGGGTATCCTTTTTACATAATAGCCCTTCTAAAAAGGGTATTATGGAATTTGGCCTGACGTACTGTCTGTTGAAAAAATTCCATGGTCGTCAAGGAATTTTGCAGATAAAAGACTGTAAAAACAATGCTGATTTGATTGGGGTTTTTTTGGTTTTGTTTTTTTTTTTGCTGAGGAGTAATTATTTTGAAAATCTGTGGAGCCTCCATTGTGAAATCATTAATCCCTCTAAAATAATGATTTCTAGTGACTCGCCAGAAGCAACTGAAGCTGCTCAATTTAATAACAAAATCCTCTCTACCATCCCCAGTTTTGTCAAACTGGGAAATAAAAACCCCAGCTTTGGTCTAGTTACCTTTTTTTTAGAAGTGACTTTGCTGCTGTTGTCTGACGGTCAACCAGAGACTGAAATTCTCAATGCAGCAGGGAGAAAGATGTGTTGCAGACGCAGAGGCTGGTTTAGGAATCTTTCCAATTCTTGTTGAAATTATGTTTTTTAAAAACACCCTCTTGTGGTAAAACAAATCCAAGGAAGAAGAAAACACAGTTCTCAGCAACCTGTTGCTGATAGCTAATTATTACTGTTTCTACTGTTTCTTGAGTGTTGATCACAGAAAGAAATGTTCCTAGAAAGGCAGGAGTAAGGCCAGTACGTATCTTATGGGGGTGTTGTGTGTGTGTTACTGACAACAATATGCAAGTGCTCCAGATGACAAAATTCAAGAGCACACAGAGAAGATCAGGGCTGTATATATGTGCAGGGAGAAGTGTCTTTATTATCTCCTTACACTTGTTGCCAGAGTCAGAATAGGAAGGAAATACTTGCAGCTGCTGAGATCTTTCAATAACAGGTCAGGGCTGGGGTAGGGGATATGGTTGAATAACTGCCTGGGGTGGATGCTGGATTGAACAGTATTTTCTTATTAAGCATCATGAATACAGTCTTTGGTCTTTCTCCAGGCAGAGAAGAGCAATCTCTTATTGAGGAGTCTGTTTCACAGTTCTAGCATTTTCACTAATCAGGAATAAATTCGATTGTAACTGTTCCCTTTTTATTTCATTCACTTTGGAATCATTCACTGCATTTCTCCTGGCCACAGGTTTTGATCTCTTTTATGCTGTTCATTGTCCCCACTGTTCACAGTTTTATAAGAGCTGCCAGTGCAGTGCAAGCTTCCTTTTGACGAATCAAATGTCGCTGTGTGTGTTCATGGCTAACTGGTACTTTGGTTTGTGTGCATCATCAGCATAAGCTGCCACTGAATTCCGGGTCTGTGTTCAGTTTATATCTACCCAGAGGAGGTGAATTACTGAATGAAACTCATCCCACACTGGAATAATGCTTGTTTGGTAAGAAACCATAATTTTTGAAATTCCAAGAAATATTAGGACTGCCATCATCACACTTTGAGCAGTTGTCACTAAGGAAAGCCTTCTCCTCACTACATGTGGCAGATGGCTTGGAAAATCACTTGTCCTCTTCTGGGATATGATTTGTGGGTACCTCCTTGTCTTGTTTGAAGAATGTTAATGGTAGACATTTAACTTGATTTGCTTTAGATCAACTGACCTTGGCTCAGAAAATGGTTAAACTTTTTTTTAAGTTGAGAGTTGCTCCACTCTCCTCCTGTTCCACCCACATAATTTCACAGAAATTCTTTGTATTTAAATGATGTTACAAATGCCATTTGTAAATGATGTTCACATCAGGTATAAATCCAAATTCTCCAAAAGAAGCAGCATTTTCTGAAGTGCTACCTTGTGTTTTACTAATAAACCAGTTGAACTTTGCACTCTGGAGTCCTTGAGTCTTGTTTTGAGCTTTGGACACTGAGTGATGCATTCCCTCAAAGGATTTCCAAACCAGCCAGCACAGGTCTTGTCAGTGCCTAAATATGTTCTGCTGTGCCCTGCTAACTCTAAACACATCTTATCTTCCTTTCCCATGCACAAGGCATCTTCATCTTTTCTGTGCAGGGTCAAACTCTCCATTAAAATTACAAGTCAAATCAAGGGATTATGCCTCTAAAATAGTTCAAGATCCCTACTGGTAAGAACTGGAAGCAGCTGTGTAATCCTCAAAGGCTGCTATTTTAAGGATAATTCCCAAGGGAGACACAGTATTGTGGCTGGTTATCACGAGAGTGATGTTTCTGGACTATTTTGACTTGGCACTGATAAAAGAAAAAGACAACAAAAGTAGAAAGACAAATTAAAAAGCTATTTCTATCTGCTGCTGTTTAGACTTCCTTCTGGTTGTGTCTTTATTAGGTTATTTGAAATGTGTGCTTTAAAGATACTTTAAATAACTGTTTTTTACAAGTGTAATTGGAATCCCACATACAATAAATCCTACTGATTTTCATGCCAAATGCAAAATATTTTGGGGGTGGGGTGTATGGTGTTTACACACCTATGCATATTCCTCTGTCCCTCATCTGTAAGGACGTGATCAGTCAATAAGTGGAATGATGTGCTCGCTGAAAATTGCACGGGTACATAGCCCATGGAGAACTAGATCCATCATTCTTGATAGTGTACACTGACAAGAGTGCAAATAGTTTCATATTTGGCTGTAATTTTTGAGTGATTTTTAGTCACTTTATTCTAAAAATGTGAATATGTTTTTATGATTTGTTCATTCAAATCCCACCTTGTTAAAGACTTGCAGCCTTTTTCGGTGGCTTGAAGTAGTGGGGTGGTATATATAAAATAAAGTTACAAGTGTGGCAATCAACATTGGAACTGATTATGAAAGCTTTGCAACCTCTGAGGTATTTCATATATTTATTCAGCTTTTCCCTGTTCTAAATACCACTCCAAGGAGTTCCTTTCCTTTGGCATCACAAGGATGCTGTTCCTTGCTGTCCAAACTGCAATGCCAATAACAACTACTCTGGCTGTAAATAGATCACTAAAGATGTTGTGCTTATTTTTACAACTGTTTGGCATCAAGTTTTACTTTGTTGCCATCTCATTTGGTGTGCTGAGCTGGGGAAACTGTAGTGAGTACTGGCATGGGAAACTCTCTGTGTGTTGCTAATGCACAGTCTTCCCTTTAAAAATGTGGATTTATGCTCCTCACCACTCGTTCTGTTACATTGCAGGTTCACCAATACCTGTGGGCATCGATGTGCAGGTAGAAAGCATTGACAGCATATCTGAAGTTGACATGGTAAGTGGATGAGTAGAATCAGAATGAAGGATTTCAGTCAAAATTCAAGGTCTCAGAAACATCCAACTGGATGATATAGAATAATGGAGTTGAAGAAGGCAAACCCTTAAAGAGCACAACCTTGCCTTGAAGCATGCAGGTCATATTCCAGGAAAAGACCTAAGTATCTTCTCAGTATTGTTATCAGAGGCACTTGTTCTGCTGAGATAGATGCCAACAGTGATACAGGTGAACACAGAGCAGTCAGGCTGTGCAGAAAGCTCAGGCTGGGTTTGCAGCACCCTCTTTATTTCTTTCCACATGTATATTTGCTGTCACGGTGTTGCTCTAAATAGGATGATAAAATGCTTGCAACAATCTTTTGTATAAAAAATATTTATTGTAAAATCTAATTGCTTACTGTTATGAGATTCTTCATATTGTTTCTTTATGATGCACTTAATTCATAAATGTGCTAATCTAACCCCCTGTACCATATTTGCACAAGATGTACAAATTTATGGATTTTAAAAGTTGGCCTAATGCTCATGAAGAACTCAAACCAATTCCTTTTTAAAGGAACCACAGTCCATTCTCAGAGAAGGTTGTGAAGATTTCCAGGGGAAACCTTTTTCCATTGGTCTTCGGCTGGTTTCAAAACTTCTTTATCACTTCACTGCTGGCCCAGTCCAGAAGACCACTGGATTATTATTTAAATATAAATTAATTATGAACCTCAGACTCAACCACCAGTGACAAAGCAAACAACTAGTATCTCAGTGATAGTTTCAGTCTGTATTTTAACTCATTGAGTGGTTTGATTCCCCTCATTGAGGATCCTTCAGGTAATATCCCGAGAAGAAATTGATTATTTGCACAAGTTGATTAATTTGTCCTGTTTTCTATTGCATGTAACTAAAACAAGCATTGTCTTATTTTATTTTTCTTTAAACAAAGGACTTTACAATGACTTTGTATCTCAGACACTACTGGAAGGACGAGAGGCTTTCATTTCGCAGTAACAAAAACAAGAGCATGACCTTCGATGGGCGACTGATAAAAAAGATCTGGGTACCTGATGTGTTTTTTGTGCACTCCAAAAGATCTTTCATCCACGATACAACTGTGGAAAACATCATGCTCAGAGTATTCCCTGATGGCAACGTTCTCTTCAGCCTGAGGTAAGAAAATACATCACTGCAACTGGGGGCCAGTAGTCTGGGCAGTGAGAATTACTGGAAATATTCACAGTGAAGATTCTCATACTGGATTGGCATTAATCCAGTGGGGATTAGTGAGGAACTGGTGACCAGTGTAGCAGTGGGAAAGTAAATTTAGTCTTGAGAACATGTTTTTCTATCCTTCACATATTGTTTCCTGTCACAGGATAATGGCAGTTAATCAAGTGTTCGTTCATGGCCAGTGGTACTTGCAAGATTGCAATAGATTTACTGCTGAGTATTTATTATTTATTATTTTTTATCGTATATTATTATTTGTATTATTAGCAAAGAAAAAAACACAGTTGTTTTGGTTTTGGGGTTTTTTGCCTACTTTAAAACTATCTCAGCTATTTGCTTCCTAGGATACCCATAAACATACCACTGATACTTCTCAGGGCTCTGGACAGGCACAGGAAGCAGATTATTGGTGCTGATACCAGCAGTGTTGGGCAGGCATGTTGTGTGACTACAAGGAACTGGAAAGTGAAACAGCAGCTCCAGAACTGAAATGTGTTTCTCTTCCATCTGCATGTTACTGCTTTGCTTTACGAAGCAGGTTTGGATGATGTGGCAGGAATAGTTTTAATGGAGGAGGAGTTTTCCCCCAAGAGTAAGGACTCTGAGGGTCATGCATTGCAGAAATCATGGTTCTGCAGTTGGTTACTAATTAGCCCTGTGCACAGAGGTGATATTTCATCTAATCTTGGTAGTCTAAAGATTTATGGAAGCCCCAGAGATTTTAGACTGTGTAATAATTGTTCCAGCAATTAATGAATTTATCTACTCTTCTATGAGGGCATGCAGACCCTCCGAAACAGCAGAGCACCACTTTAAAGTAGTGCATGTTCAAGAATCACACTGACCAGTAAGAAACAATGAGGTGAAGTATGCTTTTTATTGTTCTGTTTATTGATTTCCATGATTTTTGAGAGAGAGGGAGTGACCAAAGGAACTACACTGCTGCAGTAAGGCTTTTATCAGGGATTCTCCATGTGGGGGATGTGAGACATTCTGCTGGGGGAAGGAAGAGGGGCAAAGGGGCATAAGATGGGCAAACACTTCCTGGCAGCTGGCTGGTGAGGTGAAATGTCATCAAGATTAATGTGCACAAGAAATTGTGCACAAACCACAGGGAGCAAATGATGGGAAGGACAGAAATGGAGTGGTGTTAATGTGTATGTTCCTATAGAATCAGATGTTCACTAGCACACCCTTTTTGTATTGCCAGTTTTACATGCAATGAGCAGATTATATTCCAAATACTTATATGCAATAAATCTGCTTATTCCACATTTTTTCTTCAGTGCTCAGCATCCAGGATTTTAGTGAAGCAAAATGAAACAAAAATCCAGATTTGTTGCTAAAATAGTCTTTCTTTTCCTGTTGTTCCCCTGATCCCTTGGTCAATAACTGAAATAAGAAAACAACATCCATAGTTGGAAGTCATATCCATGTACCACTTACAATCATCTCAAGCCAATAAAAACTTACACTTGTGAAAATTCAGCTACAGAGTGATCACTGATCACAAGTTTTCAAATATCACTTGTATAATCAGTATAACCCTTACTTAAATTCCTGTAGGAAAAGTTGAACTGAAATATCAAATTACATGCAAGCTGTGACAAGAAATGGAAATCTGGTGATAGGTACCATATTTAAATTGCTGCCTTTAGCAGGTTTGGGATTTTTTTTTTTTGTTTATTCATTAAAATGCTAAGGGGTTCTTTATCCTCAAAACATTAGTGAAAAAAACAGGTGGAATGCAAAATAGTCTTTACCTAGATTTCCTTAAGCTTTTTAGTGCATAAAGCATTAAATTTCCATGATGTTGGAGAGGAGAGTAGGCTTCCAGACATTGCAGCTTATCTTTCTATGCAATTACATATTTTAACCATTCTAACTGGGAAAATAGCACTTGGAATAATATCTGCTCTAATCTGTGATATTATCTACTTCAATCTATGAGAAATCAAGTCAAGAAATGTGAACTCCCTTTGTTAATTTTCATAAGTGTAACCTTTCAAAGCAAAACATGTGAAAGGCTAATGAAGGATCAGGCCAGTAAAGGGTTTAAAAATCTGAGGTACTCTATTTAATAATAAAGGCTATTTCTGTTAAAAAAAAAGGTGATCTCTCACTGATTTAACTTTATCTCACCACCTTGAGGCAATTTCAGAAGCAGCTGAAAGTGCAGAAAAACTCAGTCATTAGGATTCTAAGGAGCGGATTGGCTGGGGATCTCACTAAGATATCTGCACAGCTCTAAGTACAAAATTTCTCATTTTATTTCTGTTTTTCTCTTCCTTTCTGCAGAATAACTGTTTCTGCTATGTGTTTCATGGACTTCAGTAGGTTTCCTCTGGACACTCAGAACTGTTCTTTAGAACTGGAAAGCTGTAAGTTTAATTCATAATTTTCCTTCACGAGTGCATTCTTCCCAGCACTCCACCTTGTTCACAACACCCCTTTCACTTATTTTGATGTGTGACCTGAACCCTTCAACATGTACATACTAAACTGTAAACAGCTTGAGATCATTCCAGAACTCAGTGAGCTTTGAAAAGCTAGAAAAACTATGATGCACCCTCCTTTGCTTCCACTGGACTAATATTCCAAGGCCTAAATCTAAAAATCTGTCAAAAAACATATTTGGGGATTTTTTCTCTGAGAAAAAAAAGTGCAAGTTAAAAATAAAATATCAATATGCCTTTTCACACTTCAAAATTTATTATTATTTGAATTATAAGTAAAACTGGGATACTGGTTTGTTGTTTAGTCTTGGAAAAGAAAACAGATCTGCTCAGTGGCAGCTCCAGAGCTCTGATCCCGTGTGCCCTGTGACCCTGAGCACACCCATGTCTTCCACCTGTCAGGTAAGCTGCTACCAGGGCACAGGACTGGCCTGCACTTTTAACAGGATGGAATATGGTCTTTGCAAATTTTTTTCATGCCAACTAACTGGCAAATTTCTATGAAAAAAAAGTTTCTTCGGGGCTTTCCTGGACTTGAGTGGTCTCCTCCCCCTAACAAAGGAAAACAAAAACGTTATTCTAGCAGAAGGGGTGACTTGACTTTAGTAACTTTATAACTTAAATGACTTTGTAACTTTAGTTTCTGCTTTCTCATAGATGCATACAATGAAGATGATCTGATGTTGTACTGGAAACACGGAAACAAGTCCTTGACCACAGATGAGCAAATCTCCCTCTCCCAGTTTTTCATCGAAGAATTCAGTGCTTCCAGTGGATTAGCTTTTTACAGCAGTACTGGTATAGTAAACCTCTCTTTAGGAGAAACAAGCGCAAGACGCAATCATGCAGAATGTCTTTCATATTCAAATTGATTGCTAATAAATGACTGTTGCTGCTGCGAGATCAGTTCCTGTCAGTCACACTGCTTTGTCAATCTGGGCCTTGGTTCTCTTTATATTGCTAATATAGCACTTTATATCAGAAGAAGAGACCATAATAATACTTGTAACTTAATACCTGACATTAAGAACCTGAAAAAATAAAATGCACATGTGCTGTTTTGAGCTCTAACAAAATTGTGGTACTTCTCTGAAAGCCACTGGAGTGTTGAATTTACAGGAATCTTTGTGTCCTGGCTATACAGAAAACCTCAAAAATGCGAATCCTGAAGAGTCAAATATTAGAAAGCAAACAAGAGGAATCCCAGTGTGTTTTATTGCCTAAAATATCCTTATTTTTGGAGTTGTATAATGTCATTAAAAGTCTACTAACTGAAGGATTTCCACTTGAGACCATTTATTACTTGTTGAGGTCTAATTCATGGTCTGCTTAATGTTCTGTATTTATACAGAAAGTTGCAGGAAAAAAATCTCTTTATGTCAGTAGTACATAGTTTAAATCCAGGTTAATCTGTCCAAGGCAAGTTTTTATTTCTCCCTATAGATCTTGAACTGTACTTTCTGGCAAACTGCACAAGGCTTTAGGAGTTTATTGTAGTCTTGATTTCATTCAAGGTGGGGTTTGTTTTCTTCGCATTTGTACATGCAATCATAAATTTTGAAATATTTCTCTGTGTAAGTAGTCTAACCATACACTTTTAACCAGAGAAAACAGCATGCTTGCTACTGCCCTTCCTAGTCTGAGTCAATTCATTTCACCTGGGATATTACCCTTTATATCAAGACAAATAGATAAAATAGAAATTATTCCATGTAATAAAATGAAGTGCATAACACTTTTGGGGGAAAAAAAGCCTTTAAGCCATACAGGAAAGCAGCAAATAGATTTATTGACTGTATTTTATTTACAGGCTTGCTTCTTTTTGCATTTCAAAAAGAGCCAGTGGAGGTGGTGGTGGGTGATACCGAGTGCAAAAATTCTAGTTTAAATTGTGATGCAGCCTAAGCAATGAGGAATTCACAGCTTGATCAGGTTCTTCCTCCTTATCTCTTCCTCGTTTATGAGCTGAGAACAGAGCTGCAGCTCCCCAGAGAATAGGCGAGTGATACCTGACCACGGTAACTGTGCCTTGCTGAGAGCGACGTCACAGTTGTCCTTGTTGCAAGAGGGGCTGGGATGTTTTCCACCTAACTGCTGCCACTGTGTGTTCAAACTGGGTTCTGGGAACTCAGCTGGCTTCTCTCTGCCTTGCCGTTCTCATCAAAAAACACTTCAGCAAGTAAATACAGCCTCGTGCTCAGCAGTGCACTCTCACAGGTGCCCAGGGCTTTGCAGCAGTTTGACTTTGCAAAGTGTGACTGCTTAACACTCACATGCAAGTGTTTTGAGCTTAACTCAGCAACATAAAAAAAGTCTTTCCTTTCACCTTTAAAGTTGAGGGACCACTGGGAAGTACCTAAATGGTGTTTAGTAGCATATCTGTTAGAATGCTGCCCTTTGTAGACTTACACTTTTCTTTGGCTTTGAGCTTTTGTTTTGCTCAAGAGGTTCCACTTTCTCTTGCCCTTTTATTTTGCTTCTTGTCGGAAGAAAACTTACCTACCAAGTAAATAATAGTGGGGAACAATCAGCACAACTCTAATGGGAGTCATCTCCCCCTAAAATCTCAGGAAAAAATGGATAAAAATGCTGCTCACAAAGCAACTTTCTGCATTTCAGGTTCCACACATTGTTTCCTGTGAATCTCAGTGTAGTGTTTAGGCCTTTGGAGTTCCCTGGCTCCAAAGGAGCAACAATTAAATCCATTTTAGAGATTCTTCAAACAACAAACCTTCTCCACACTGAAAACACAATAGAGTGTGTTTAATATTATTTGGGGTTAATTTTGGTATATTCTTTTCTATAAAGTCACTCGTTGTGATGGTGTGACTCCTCCAGCATTGGCTCATGGATGTCCTGGACAGGCAGCCACCCACTTTTTGCCTTATTTTCACCTCACTTTTATATTGGTTTCTCTGCCGTGGCAGGAGGTGCAGCACACAAGCTGTGCTGCGCAGGCAGAGCATGCCCCAGAATTCACTAGATGGCACCCTCTCCTCTAGAGTCAGCACGGGGGTACAAGTTGCTCCGACGAGGGGAACGAGGGACTGCGTCTTGCGGGATATTTTCAGCGTGAGAAAAGACAGGCTGCTTTTTGGAGAAGGCAGGGCATTGGCTTCGCTGGAAAATTATATCCTGTGTGTATTCTCCTGGCAGTTTCACCTGAAGTTGGTTTAATCTTTCCAGTTTCCTAACCTGAGTTCTAACAGTATTTTATGTGTGTGGTCGTGATGCTTCACTCCCAAGGCAGCGGTGCTTTATTGAGGTAAAATGGGCAGTTTGCAAAGTACCACGTTAAAGTAAGATGGTGACAAGTTTTCTTAGGCATTTACTCTTACTGATGTGGGTACATCACTCCTGCTGGAAGGAGGACGCCAGCAAACAGCTCATGAATAACACATCTGTCTTCTTTTCTTCCCCACTCTGTTCCTCTCCGGTTTTTTTCAATAGGTTGGTACAACCGACTTTTTATCAACTTTGCCCTCCGGAGACACATTTTCTTTTTTGTGCTGCAATCCTATTTTCCAGCCATGCTGATGGTGATGCTGTCTTGGGTTTCATTTTGGATTGACAGAAGAGCTGTTCCTGCCAGAGTATCACTAGGTGAGTCTCTAATGTATATTCTTTGGGAAGTATGGAATGGCACAGGACGTGAGCAAGTATATCCGGTAATTGCCTCAACAACACTATTACTGCCACTGTTGTCACCACCTTTAGTCAACCTCTACATGTAGAAATGAAATGTTTGCTCAGACTGACTTTGTTACATTAGAAAATGGGTCGCACAGCACGGAAGCAAAAAGAGATGATTCTGCAGACTCCCTGATGTAGAATGTTACCTGATTGCAAAGCCTGGGCTTTTTCCTTCTCTCTTCTCAGCAAACAGGTAGTCAGATCCCTTCCCAAATCCATGGTTCATTAAGCATAGCACAATCTGCCTAAAAGCTCTGCAGCTCTTCTTTTTATCTAGAAACATTTCTTATCTTCCTACCAAGTTGGAACCAGTTGCCCATTGCAGTAAAACCTTCCTTTGCTAGGCACCTTAAAAATGTTTGGTGTCTTAACTGTGTAAGGCAGTCTTTTGTGGAAACCAAAGAGTAAGTTGGGCATCTTTCTGCTCTTGCAGTTTTAGTTCTGAACACCTCAGCTCAGGAGAAAAAGGACTAATTATACTGGGATTTCTCTAGAAGTTTATTGGGGGTTTTTTTTCAGAGAATACCACTTCAAGACTACCCTTTGCTGGGAATTTAATTCTGATCACCTTGGAACGAGTATATTTTTTCAAAAATTCTGAAAGAATCATCTCTGAAGATCTGATGGAAATTCATTAAGATATCTAATGTAACCATCATATATCTGAGTCCTGCAACTCTTAGTTTAATAACTAGTACAGAAGCTCCTGTACTTTATTCTCACTGGTGCTGGTCCCAGAAGCCAACTGTATGTTGTCATATTTCTTGGATCAGTGAAAAAGCCCTCTATTTTAATCTATAGCTTTCTCAATCTAACAAAAATAGAACTGTAGGTACCTCAGATCCCTTTCTATTGGCACAGGAAAGCTATTATTACATGGGATATGAATCTATTTGTTCATCTGAAAACAAATTATGGTACGTCCTTCCTACTTTTATTAATGCATTTGCTAATTCCTTTTATTTATAAGAAATTTAACTTCACCTTTAAAAACAACTTTTTAAATCTCAGTAGGCCATTTTTAATGCTGACAAGATGGTTTTGCTGATCATGTTCTTTATATATGGATTTCTGCAGAAGGTTATGCATCAGGAGTTCTATGAATAAAGCACACTTCATTAGCATAAGCATCCATAATTCATAGGCAATGTTAACAACAAAGGTTAAAAAGCTTAGCTCCCAAGCCTAGAGTATATGTATTTTAAATAATTTGATTTCCTCTTATACGGTATATATTTCAAACTCCATCTTTCAACCTAAGGAACTTGGTTGAAGAGAGGGAGAGGGAAAACTTTTATGTGTGCCAGGGGACTTGAACTAGTGTAGGACTGGAGAAGGGCTGCTCTGAGACCCAGCTCACAGGCTAGGGCTGTCTCACTTCCAGTGTCACATTAATTTCTTTAAAAGCGAGACCTGAGTCAGGTGTTGGTTTGTTTTTTTTCTGAGATGGAGCAAACCAAAATGAGAGGAATAGCTGATGTAAGAGGAGAGATTGAAAAGATGAGGGTGAAATTCTGGTCACACTGAAGTAAACAACAATTGTTTTCTTAGTTTCAATGGATGTAGCATTTTTGTGGTGATTGTTTTCAGAAAACAAAGGAGTTATGACAGAGACATACAAGCTGATAAATGTTCTCGAGAAGTACAGTTTGAGAAAGGATTGGGGGAGGAAATTTGGTGATTCTTTAGGGATTCTTCTGGACAAGAAAGTGTGCAGTGGCAACTGCAACTCTGGGAAGCGAGGAAGCCCACAAACCTGCTTTCATTTCTCCACAGCAGTGCCCAAAGCTGCCACAGAAGTGTGCTCCTTACGCTGCTCAATCACCATCCTCATTTCTGTGCTGTTAGAAGCTGCTGTGCTGCAGCTCCAACTGCATGCTCTGAGCAGAGGGCTGATTTACTGGTTTCAGTATTGCACGGGATGGGTCCTTCGTGGTTCACTCTACTTCTCAGAGTCTCTGTAATGAAGTTAGAGGCGATGTCAATCCTACGCCCTCACAAAGCCATGCTGTCCAAGGGACAGTGATGAGCTGCACAAAACCAGCTGGTCAGGGTTAGGATAATCTGCCCTCTTTCTCTGTCAGGTATAACGACAGTGCTGACAATGTCAACCATCATGACAGGAGTAAGTGCCTCAATGCCTCAAGTGTCTTACATAAAGGCTGTGGATGTGTATTTATGGATCAGCTTCCTTTTTGTCTTCCTGTCCGTCATTGAATACGCAGCAGTGAACTATCTCACCACAATTGAAGAGAGAAAGCAACTCAAAAAAAGGGGCAAGGTACAGTCCTCTGTGTATTGTTGCCTTCAGAAAGCACCATAGAAGCCACAGAGTAATCCCGATACACCACTGTGATAAAAGAACAGTAACTATCTCTGTGTCACTCTGTATATCACCTTTTTTTGACTTGGTTGAAGGGAGTAAATGTATCATCCTCTCTGAGATCCTGAGAAGCTCAGTGCTTTTTCTTCCTTCCTTTTCTTGTAGCAGATATTAGGGAATACTCACCTCCTGATTTTTTTCTCCCTTTTTTGCCCCCTCAGAGGAAGGTAACCTTCCTTCTGTTCTCAAATACCTATCAATCAAAACATTTTGCCTGTCTCTGAAACAGACCCCAGAATGCACTCGTGATATTCTTCCTATTTCCTATCAAGCAGGGTCCATTTCTCCTTTTCCTTCTTTGCCATTTTCAATTGGAAAGGTGGGTTTAATGATGCCTTTTTGTCCCAAGACAAGGTCATTTTTAGAAAAGTGTGCCTGAAGCAGAAATGGCTGCAAGTTAAACATCTGCTTTCTGTGAAGCACTCACTTAAAACCTTTGCTTCAAGAATATCCCCCCATGTAAACTCATTTGGTGGCATATCACAAGGGGAAAACCACAGAAAGGGTACATGTGTTGCTCACATGATCTGATGGAAATGTTGGAAGTCATTTCCCACAGCTCCAGCAGTGCAGACCTGCAGGAGAGAGTTTGATTCTTCTGTTTCAGAAGCTGGGGCACGTATTGCCAGCCAGCAGCTGGCAATAATCAGTCACACAGGAGAATTTTATCATGTGCACCCCCTTCCTTGCTCATGTCCTGCCCATAGACTGCCATACTGTGAGGTAACCCTCTTCTCCATATGCTCTCTTGCTCTCTAAGAGGGAACAGCAATGAAGGGAAAGCTTTCTTTACTCCCTCTTTTATTTATTTATAATTTACTGAAATGCCTCCCGCAGACACAGACTAACTCTTCTTTGCTGCCAGGCCTCAGGAGTGTACATGGATGCAGTGCAGGCCATGGCTTTTGATGGCTGCTTTCACGACACGGATGTGGACATGGACCTGTCTGGTTTCTCAGACCCCTGTGAGGACAATGAGACTCGGACGAGTGAAACCAACATCTCCAATGTGGAATCAACTCGCTTGAAGAGATCTCTGAAGGGAAACGTGGGCAGGATTATTTTACAGAACAATCACGTCATTGACACGTATTCCAGGATTATATTTCCCAGTGTATATATTGTATTCAACTTTCTTTACTGGGGTTTGTACATATGAGCAAAAATCCTTGTAAGCAAAACATTATTTTGAGTATAAGAGAAGAATCATACTTTGAAAATAATGCAACAGCAGTAGAGGAAAGGGTTGAAAGTTTCCAAAACAGACTTCTGCCTCAAACCTGGGCTGGTTTGGTTAGCAGCAAAACTGCTAATGAAAAACTGTCACATCTGGTTCTTTTTCAGCTGGACTGTGCAGTGCTGCACCTGGGCAGTCCCATGCATAAGTTCATGCTGCAGTAGCATAGATCAGTTTGGTCACTAAGGGAGCCCTTTCTCACACGCCTGAGCAGACAGCAGCTCCCACCTGAGGTATTAATCAGTCTCTGTCTACACTTAAACCATTCCTCTTCAATCAGCCTTTCTGGTTTTTTCTCCATTTGTGGTCCATTTTTGTAGGAATTGGCACCAATCATCTTCAGGCATCTCCTATCCTTGTTTCAGCTGCTGCATTTCAACTTTGCTGGGCAACCTGTGTGCATCTCAGCAGCCTCTGTCCTCAGATGGTAACCAGAGGGAAAGATATGGCTGAGCAGTGGAGTAGGGATGAGGAGAAAGCAAGAAGCAAGGCTGATGGGGCTTTGTAGGTTGTATATTGTCAACACCTCAAGAAAAACCTTTCCCCCTTGTCAATTGTCCATGAGCCCTCATGGGACCTTTGTTTTGGAGAAAATTTGCTCCCCAGTCCCTGAGGCAGCAGAGGAACAATGTCCCAAACCCCGTGTCTTACAGCCACCTCCCAGCTGGATGAGCAGCATCCCTGACACGAGCTGTGCCCTTCCTGTGACACCCACACACCTCTGCCTCACAAAGACCTGCTGTAATCACCTGCTTTCTGCAGAGCTGCCTGTGTGAGGAACGCAGGCTTTGAGACAGAGATTTTAGAAAACTTTGTAAGGAGAACAAACCAACCACATCTTCAGCAAAATCTAGTTCTTCTGCTTTATGATGTTGCACGTGAGTTTGGGGTTTTTCCCCCCCCTCCTTCTCACTTTGGCTTGAGGTTGAATGTTATGGTGAGGAGAAGCTGCACATGCCTGTTTGCAGCAGTGATCCCTAGCACAGGTCCAGGGACCTGGAACACTGAGACACACAGGAATAAAAGGAATCAGCTGTGCCAAAACAGATGTACACAGGAATCCTGTCAGTCTCAAATGAATCCTGCGTGGAAATATCCTTAGGTTCAGGCTAAGGAGTTGAATCAAGAATGTTCAGGGGACACCCATAGAAAGTGTTCACAGCTCCAGAAAAGAATCAAGATTACTTTTGCCACTATCCCAAAGAAGGAGTGTTTTCCGCTTACATCCACTGGGTTTGTCTGTCATTTAATGAACTGAGTTTGTATTTGGAAAGTCAGTTTAAAAGGATCCTTTGTGGTGGCAAAAATAAAAGTCACAAGGTAAATGCTTGGTCGCTACTTGGTCAAGTTTATTGGTCAAGGAAATGAGAATAAATTTGAAAGCCTGAACCACTCTCTGGTTTGTTTATTTATTTATTTACTTACTTTATTTTTTTATTTCTTTGATTTATTTATTTTTCATGGTCCCATTTTGTTTGCTCATAGCATGGCGATGCCTCTTGCTTTTTCAAAAAGCTGTATGTGCCAAGCTGCCAGTTCCAGAACTGGGAAAGCTGGTGATGCTGCACACTGGCTGACTGAAATCTCCTGGAGTCAGTGGGTACTTGGGCAGATGGTTGGCTGCTAGAAAATGTATCAGAGCTAAGACAGCTTTGATACTCTTCCGGGAAATCCTGCCATGGAAAGCAGAAGGATACCAGGAATGACAATGCTGGGAACACACAGGCTTTGCCAACAGCAACAGCACATCAGATCTCAAGCTGAGCAAATGTGTAATGTAGATATATATAAAAATATACCATCACAGCCTTGTTCTTGCACTGCCATTGTGGAGGCATCCTGCGCAGATGTTCCAGATTGACTGAGAATATCCCATCTAATTGCTCCAGATGTGTAATGTGTGTCCTAAACTTTTCACATGAATATAACATTGTAATAGAAGGGTTAACTTTGTTCATAAAATCTTACGTGTATGAGGGAATAAGGAACTTTTGTTATAATTCAACAAGATAAGTTTCATGGACATCCTGTTAATCAAGCAAGTATCAGTAAAAATAATTGCAGACATCTTGCTAAGCAAACAAGTATCAGTATCAGTAAAATTTACAACTGATAAGAAACTGCACCTTTCATCTCTGACAAATACCAGATGACCACTTAACAATGAGCTACAAACTCAAGCCTCAACGCAGCCGCATTAAAAACTCGGGACTTGGAAATGTATAAAAAGGAACATTTACTACATTTTGGTGTGTGCTTCGGCAGGGCACTTGCCCTCCAGGCCACCCAGCGCTGTTTTGCTTTATTATCGCTTGCTTAATAAACTTATCAATGTTTAATTGGAATGGAGTTGTCTAAATTCTTATACTAACTTATAACAACATCATTGTTGACACGGTATTTTTTATCTGCCTTACAAGAAGTATTTGTGTAGCCAACAGCGAACCTTCTGCCTCCAGTAGAAAAAATTCCCATGTGCTTCTTGACCCAAACCAGTTCCCTCTTCTAAATTTCCTGCAGGATCTGCAGCAGCAGAAGCCCTGAGGGCAGCACAGCATGCCCCAGTGTAGGCTGTCCAGCAAACTAGTCCACAAGGGGTTGTGGAAGGAAAGACATTCCTGCCTGCATTTACCTCCCAGGCACAGCCTACACAGCTTACTTTGCTGGAACAAACTATTGTCACTTCCAGCTGTGAATGTAACCACTGGCAAAGGATTCTTCCCTTTGGGCAGGGACACTCCCAAAATTGAATACGAAGATTCCTCCTGGACAAAAGGTGCCAGCACAGAAAGCTCCTGCTGCCCGTGGAGTGGCCCAGGCTGACCCACCAGCTGCACCTGAAACACAAAGGTTACAGGCTTTCTTTCCTGGAAGAAAAGTTCTGTTGATATTTTGTTTCAGCCCAGAATTCAAATTGTCGGTCCAAGTCCCCAAACTGAATACGTAATAACTTTGGGTTCCTCTTTCCACCATCTTTAGTACGGGCTAGGATGACTCTCAGTGCTGGCAGCGCCATCTTTAGAGCTGACCTGGACCACTTCCGGTCCAGGGCCGCCATCTTCTTGCAGGGCAAAGCAGGGCTCTCCGGTCGGGGGGCGCGTTCTTTGTACAGCGCTGGAAATATTCCGGTCGGTCCGCGGCGGGCATTTTTATTACGGAGCTATAAGACTTTCAGGGCCGGAGACGGCTCTCACTTCTGGTGCCCCATTTTACCCCTAGAATGCCCCTCACTAATTTCTGCGGTTTCACCTCAAAACGCTCGTTTTATTCTCCCCCCGGTCCCCAGGAGAGACGGGAGACCACAAGTGCCGTCGTGCCCCGAGAACCGGCCAGGCCCTAGCGCGGCCGCTCCTTCCCCGCTCGGTGTCGCGGGCTCGGCCGCCCCCGGCGGGCCCCGACCCCTTGAGGGGGCCTCCCCCGGGCCCCACCCGCTCCCCGTTCCCGCTGTCCTTCCCCCGGTGCGGGGGGGAGGGGGAGGTTCTTTTTCGTTTTCTTACTTTTAATTTTTTTTTTAATTTTCTTTTGTGTTTTATATTTTCTTTTTATATTTAGTTTAATTTTTATTCTTTTTTTTTTTCATTTTCTTTTATTTCTTCTTTTGTTTTTATTTTTTCTACTTCTTATTATTCCAGAGGGGTAAACACTGCAGCTCCTCTGGGCGAGAGAAAGGCTCCCCTGCTCCTTCCTAAACACAAGCCTGGACTTAGTGCCCTGGGAGCCCAGTCCGCTCATTCCAGGGGCTAGGGGTCACCCAGAGGAGCTTTGCCAGTGTCAAATGGAAATTCCATGGTGGGCAAAGGCACTTCCAGCAGGACTGCCAGGACACTCCTGCTGGCCAAGGCGACTGGTCTGTGGAAATGAGGCCAGTGGGGTGTGTTTCAGGGGGATACTTCCAGGCTTTATTCTGCAGAAACTCCAGTTCTTTATGGCACTTTTTGCTTCAATGTTCTCCTGTTGGAAGAGGTCAATAGTCTTTTTAGGGGCCAGGTAATCCATTTGCCAAAGCCCAGGCAATCCATTCCCTCCACACCCCCCTGCACTCCGGGGCCGAGGGGCAGCCACCTGCCCTGCACAGCCCTGGGGCTTGGCTTCAGGCCATCTGTCCCAAGGCTGGAGTGATCCTGGCATCATCCTGTGGCCATGACTGGCACAGAAAGCCCAGGGCAACAGCAACTCCAGGCAGCTCCAGGCAGATGTTATCCCTTCCCAGCCTTCTGGGTGTGAGGGGGAAGGTGCCCTTCCCCGGCAGCAGCAGTCGTCCCCACTGCAGAGCCCACCCCACAATTCCTGTGTCACAGCCCACTTCCTGCAGAAAAATGGCAAAGATTGGACCTTAGGAGAGAATTCTTCCCTGGGAGGGTGTGAGGCCCTGGCACAGGTTGCCCACAGGAGCTCTGTCTGCCCCATCCCTGGAAGTGGCCAAGGCCAGGCTGGACGGCGCTTGGAGCCGCCTGGCACAGCGGCAGGTGTCCCTACCTGAGGCAGGTGTCCCTGAATGAGATGATCCTTGAGGGCCTTTTCAACCCAAACCACTCCAGGATTCCAAGAGGATTCTGTGAGCTCTCCCTGCCATTCGTTTGGCATCGTTTCCTCTCCAATTTGAATTCTCAAATTCACACGCTTTGCTAAAGGAATCATTTTAAAGTTATTCCAGTAAGAAAAAGGGGACTGTAAAACATAAAAGGATCATACCTATGCCCATCAAATAATTAGAACTGGAAACCTGTGAGCTCACCTCTGTCCTTGTTATTGTTTCCTGGAAAACCCTATGATCCCAGTTTTGAAGAGAGATCCACTGGAATAACCAGGTTTGCTCTGACAGAGAGGCTGGGTGGGAGATGGGGGTGGGGGGTTGATCACTTTTTCAGAGGAAGGAAGCATTTGATCCTGGCTGGAGGAAGAACCTGCAGAAGGTACAGAAAGGCTTGGCTTGAAATCTGCTGAGAAGGATGGGTGGACTGCTGTGCCACTGGCCTTCCCTTGTTCCCCACAGGTACGATAGCCAAAGGCAGCTCTGGCAGGTTTCCATCCAGCTTTGGAAGGCAAGTAGATGTGTTTTGCTTTAGCGGGGACCTGTGGTGGGTGGCACCTTTGCTACACCTTGATTGGTTGTCTGAAAGACAAAAAAATTTCATTCCCATAGAACAGTGAAACGCAGTTCAGGAGTTCTGTGAGGGACCGAGGAGCCCCACAAAATGACACAGTATCCAGTGTTGCTACTGGTGCTGCAATGCTGGTTACAACCTCGTAGGAAACACCAAAAGACTGCTTGAAACATTTTATCACCATTGTTGTTTATATAATACTTGGAACCCACGCTCCTTAATTCTTGCTGTAACAGCTATGCTTCAAACACCAAGAAATGGCAGGGAACAGCAATTTCTCTCTGGAGATATCAGAGACACCTGGTAGCATCTGTAGGCAAGAGCTTGTTTTCCAGCAAAGCACCCGTCACCCCCAGTTCTATGTTTCTTCACCCCTACCTGACCAAATTGTACCCTTGTGCCAAAATTCAGGTGGGAAGTCTTTCTGTCATCAAACATCTGAAAGACACTGTTGCATTAAACAGTGAAACAAGTGCATAAATTATTTTTAAAAACCCCCACAAATGCCTCTGAGCAGTCTTTGGGGGAATACAGTACACATGTACACACTAGGACAGGTAATGCAGCCACTGTTACATGTTAAGCCAAAATGTAGATTTTCATCACAGCAACTGCAGAGAATGATTTTGAGTTACCAACAGCCATTAAAAGCCTAAAGGACTTCTTTCCTTATGAGCAGTCTTTCAAAAGATGACCCAGGGACTTTTCAGAGAGCTTTCTGCCAGCACTATTTGAAAAGCTGTCATCCCTGTCAGATGGAATGCCTGAGTTTCCTGACTACCTGTGCTTCTCGCAGGATGTTGGGGATCAACGTGAACCTGGGGAAGAGGACGAGACCTCATTTGCAAGCTGGAAGGCACGATACGTGGATGGCTGTAGCCTGGAAGGAGTCACCTCGGAATGATTAACCTTCAAGTTGCAAAGCTCTGCTGAAAAGATCCAATGGGCTTCTCCTTGGTTCTACTTAGGGTGGAGAATTACCCAGCAGTCCATCACGCCACAGAAAGTCATGATCACTCGTAATATTCATACCTTAAATGATCTTCAAAAGTTATTAGGTAAACATTAATTGGGTCAGACCTCAGCTGGGAATCTCCACTGACGAACTTCATCCCTTGTTTGAATTGCTTAGTGGAGATTCCGACCTGAGGTCCCCCCGTCATTTAACACCGGAAGCCGAAAAGTCACTTCAGTTAGTGGAACAAAAAATTTCTCAACAGCAAAGCCAAAGGAAAGTCCTAGGATTACCACCGGTTCTGATTATTCTCCTGGGACCTAAACAGCCTTTTGGCATTCTTGGCCAGTTACAACATCAAAACACTGACTTTCTCCTGTGGGAGTGGGTCTTTTTATCCCACCAATTCGGCAAGACACTTGTTACCTTACCAGAACTTATTTTCAAAGTATATTTTAAAGG